ACCACTTGAAGGGAAATCAAAATCCTGCCTTTTGGATTTAGAATGATTGTTATTAGTTTGTGTTCCAATTCTGATAGCACTTTTTAATGTCTCCATCTTGGTCTCCATATTTGTTCCGTATTTATTGATGGTGGCTAATTTTTCCATCACATATGGTCCTATGGGATCAGACATCTGCCGAGTATCAATAGCAGAACTAAACTTTACACATTTTTCTAATTCTTTTAGTGCTATATCGAAACTTGAAATAATTTTTTCCATTGAAAGTTTCAGCAATTCTTCTTGGGAAGATCGTTCCATTTTGAAATTGAAAATCAATGACTTATGTTGTTGTGGGGATTTTTGTAAAACTGTTGGTTCATTTCTGACAAAAATATCTTGATTACAGAAAATCATGTCAAGCATGTTCCCATTGTCATTCAAACTTTCTTCACCACATTGCATTTTAATTCCTGTTGAATTTTCAAATTTAATGACTTTTGAAAGTTGTATTGATATTGCAGAACTATTCGACACTTTGTATTTATAAAATTCGTCGTAATTAAAATCACCAGCAATAATGAAATTATCATATTGTCTTTCGTTTTTAATTTTCGAAAGTTCAACAAAAAAGTTTTGGAATCGAGGTGCTGGACATACTGGATGAGCGTAAACTGCAATAATGTTAATAGTTTTAAATCCATCATGTTTGATAGTCGCACACAAACATTCTAATTCACCTAATTTAGTGTCGAACTTCTTTTTTAATTTCTTGTTAAGCTTTAAATTAAATGTTTTAGCTGCAGCTATCAAAACACCTCCTTGTGCATTTCCTGACTTTTTCGTGAATCCTGCTGTTCTCAAAATGCGGAAATTTTCTGGGAAACAATCCTCTTTAAATACTTTTATTTTTCCTGGTCGATGTTTTGTTTCAGTCAATATATAAATATCATGGCTGCTCTTTGTTGAATAATCCTTTAAACAATCTTTTTTTTTACCCAGTCCATTAATATTTTGGTAAAACACCATCAAAGTCTCCTTTACTTTATTTGTCATCATTTTCTCACTTTTTACAAATGGTTATCAAAGTTTTATAATATCTCTGATTAAACATAAAATTAGTTTAATTAAAAGTTCTACACGAAGCGATAGAAAAATAGAAACTGAAATGATTTCGATATTTATGAATTCTCATATATAAAAATTGGCTTTGTCGTTGTGATTGATTAGTTCTTTAGGTGTTATCGGTGGGAATGCAATGTATTCAGATAATGATGAACACACATAAACCTTTGCGAAATTTCATGAGCTGATCTTAGTTTTTGTTATCAATTTATTGTTTTTTTGAACCTTATTTAAAATTATTATCAAGAAAATTTAATACAGGAAATTTGCACGAGATTAAGAGAAAAACGTTTGACACGTAGTGAGTTCTCCTGAAATCATAAATCATACGGAAAATATCTAATTTTAATCAAACCAAATTTAGTCGTTAATAAAGTTTTATAAAACTTCATTTCCCGGGGTTTTACACAACATAAGTCAACAATTTGTTTAGCTTTTATTAAATGTATTTTAATTTATTTCTGTTTTTATTTTGTTGTTTGATATTTCACATAAATCAAGTTCATATTGATATATTTCTGGTGAAACTATCGTCTCAATCTTTGGATTTTTCATAATGAATTTATTCATGTGAGTAATCAAATGATCAAATTCAAGTTTACATCTGGTTATGTTCGTCTCTGAATCCTCCAAAATTATTACTGAGTTACATATCGAACAAAATGAATTCCATTCGATATTAAAATGATAAATGCAAATATGAAATCTAAAATCTTCAATATTTCCTGTTGAAAAGTTACACATTTTACAAATTATTACAACTCCTTCTTGAATATTTCCTCGATGAAGTTTAAATTCAAAATGTTCCATAGAACCCTCTGCGAAAATGAGTTCCTTTTTTACGTTTGAATTGTTGCCTTCTTGGGAACTTTTCTTTTTCCTTTGCTGATTTGTTGAAGTTTTTGAACTTCTCTTCTGTGGAGGTTTGCTATTGTTTTTTATTCCATATTTCAAAGCACTTTTAAACCCTTGGGCATTTTTACAGCACGTATTTAAAAATACTTCCAGTTTGGTTAAACTTTCAATCATAGAAATGAAAGCTATTCGAGTGTCAATACTTGAACTTAACTTCTTACAATTCGACATTTCTGTTTGAGCCAAATCGAAGTTTGAAGAAAGCTCGTGAAGCAAAAATTTAAAATCATATTTGGAACATTTTCGGTCAATCTTAAAATTAAAATCTGTTTTATGCTGCTTTCGGGTCTTCCGTATTGCTGTTGATTTCTTCTTCACTTGAATATTTCCATTGCCATGTAAACTTTCATGAGCATTTAGCATTTTAATAGAATTTTTGTCAATTGCAACTTGAAATTGATTTCATTTGAGACTTCACTCGAAGAGTTAGCGTAATTAAAACTGAAACGATTTCAATAGCTACGAGTGCTTTTATATAAAAATTTATAATAATTTTATCTTTATCATTGATAATAAGTTTTTATCAATAGTGTCAATTCCTGGGGTAATAATTTCAAACTTCAGCGAAATTTGATGAGCTAATCTTCTGAATTAGTAATCTTATGAAAAATAGAAATTGAGTGAATTTCTCTACCTAGATAATAAAAGCAACTCGTAAAATGGAGGGTTTGGTATCGACATCACCAATATAAATAACAAGGAAATGAAATGCAAAGAATTTAGCTTTGATAAACTGAACCACTCGATAGACAAGATAAATTGTTAAATTTATTAAAGAAAAAATATTTTGAAGTTTAATTATTTATTGGCAAGAGTTTTTTTCATACAAATATTTAATTCTGTATTTTTTAATTTTTATTGGATTTGTCAAGTTCTCTTTATTGCGATTAAAATTAATGTTTCAATAAACATTTCATAATGAAATATAAGGATTCAAATGTGTAGCTACTAAATGTTCAAATTCATTTGCAATAAATGGGTATTCATGTGTGATTACTGAATCACATAATGAACAAAATTTGTCCCACTTATTATCAGAACTATTAAAATGAAGGTAAGAAACATGAGCTCTAAAAAAATCTATGCTTTCTGTTGAAAATTTGATGTCCTGACATATTTTGCAAGTTATAACAACTTCTTCCACAATACTTCCTCGATAAATTTTATACTCAAAATGTTCTGTAGCTCCTTCAGATAAAATAAATTGTTTTGAAGGCTTCGGTGAATTGTCTTCTTTATCAGAAATTTCTCTTTTGCTTGGATTTACGCTGAAACTCTTAGAACTGCTCGATGGTAACATGATTTCAGAATTATTAATGTTGATATTTTCTCTGGATACATGTAAATCAAATAAAANTCACTTAAAGTGCCTTTCAGATAATGAAACTTTTTCCTGCGAATTTTTTTAATCTAATCTGAAATGTTTTACGGTGTTCTTAAAAAATAATCTTATCGTGAATTTAGTTCCGGTCATTACTCATTTCCTATCTGCAATCAATAATTTTGACTAAACATTGAAAAACTTTTTTCTTTATGTTTCTATACATTTTATTTTCTTATCATTCAGAAAATGGAGGAATAAACATTATTGGATTTTTCTTATTCCTTGTCGACGAATGTCAATGTACATTTTCCACAGTAAGCGCGATTTTCATGTGCGGCCATAAATACTCCAGCACCACAAGTTTCTGCTGGACATTCACGTCTCAAACGGTGGATTTTTCCATTTTCGTCGACCTTAACAAGATAAGTTCTTTAAATTGATTTTTTTTAAAATAGTTAAATTAATGTTACCTTGTAATATTTCAAGACAGCAAGTTTGACCTTCTTTCTCTTATGCTTGATCTTTTTTGGTGTGGAATAATTCTTCTTCTTACGTTTCTTGGCACCAACACGAAGACGCAACACCAAATGAAGTGTTGACTCTTTCTGGATGTTGTAATCGCTAAGAGTACGTCCATCCTCTAATTGCTTACCAGCGAAGATCAAACGTTGCTGATCTGGGGGAATGCCTTCTTTTATCCATTGGCAGGAATTTTCATCACACAAATATCTATTTAATTTAATCTTTGTTAATTTTTATTGGTTTATGAAGTTCTCTTTATTCCGATTAAAATTAAAATTTCAATGAACATTTGTTTTCATAATGTAAGGAATAAGGATCAAATATATAAATAGCTGCTAAATGTTAAAATTTGTTTGCAATAAATGGGAATTCATCTGTAATAACTGAATGATTAGTGTCGCCATTATTGAATGTTCTTTATAAAACCCAAAATTTATTAAAAAAAACTCAAAGCAAATAAAATTTTGTCTCAAAGCTAAATTAATTTTTGAAAAGGACCTTTAAAAGTTTCCTCTCAATAGACAATGAATTGATGGACGTCAAATCATTTCATAAACCATCAAAAAATTTTTTTAAATTTTCTTCTAAAACTGACATTTCAGTTTTCGGCTTCATTATGTGAGGATTCACATGTATGGCAACCAAATATTCAAATTCTTTTAAAATTAATGATGGTTCATCCCTTGATTCATCCCAAATCATTGAGTCACATATTGTACAAAATTTATTCCAATTTACGTTGGAATGAAGAAACAAAACATGAAATCTTATTTGTTCAATGTTTCCAGTTGAAAAGTTGAAGAAACCTTTGCATAGCTTACAAGTTATGACAACTCCTTCGAAAATATTTGTGTTTTTGAAAATCTTATTGAAAATATTTCTCTTCTCATTCGTCTTTTGCTTAAAAAAGTTTGAAATTTCCGTTTACTTACACCTAAATGGGTTTGGTTTTTGCGAATCAGATATCAATTTAAAACGCAATTTATTAGATAAAGAATTTCCTGTAAAGTTTTAATCATTTTGATAAAAAGTTCATAATTTTTATCAAGAGTTTTATTCCGGTTATTAATACTTCTCCACTTGTAGATAAACTTTCGAAAAAAATCTGACATTACACATCTATCAAAAAGTAAGTTCTGGTAATAATAGATTTCGAGTGCAGATCTCATTCATATTTTCTTTATTCGGGGTTTCAAGTCGGGGTTGTCTTGGAAAACTTTCCGTTTGAATTTATATTCTTGTATAAAACTTTTCTATAGATTTGTTCATATGAATAATCAAATGTTCTAATTCGTCTTTAACAAACGATGAATCATCTAAGACTATTGAACCACATATCGAACAAAATGAATTCCATTCGATTTTAGAATGAAGGATCATAACATGAAATCTGAAGGCTTCAATGCTTTTTGAACAAAATTTCATTTGTTGCGTGTTATCACAAATTTTACAAGTACATAATAACAACTCCTTCATCAAATTTTTCTCGATCAAGTTTATATTTGAAATGTTCCATCCAACCTTCCGGCAAAATACGTTGCTTTGAAGATTTTGAGGAATTTTCTTCCTGAGAACTTTTCCTTTGATGATTGAAAAATTCTGAACTACATATTCGAAGTAAAAGCAAAATGGTGATTTAAAGCACTTTTAAATTTCTCCATGTTTCTTTCACATCCATTGAAAGACTCTTCCAGATTATTCAATCGTACACGAAGATCAGAACTTAATGGAGTATCAAGAGCAGAAGTTAACTTTACACATTTCAACACCTCTATTTGATCTGAATTGAAGTTTGAAATAAGTCTATCAATCGAAAATTTCAGCAATTCATCTCCAGAATATCGTTCCATTTTTAAAACGAAAATTAATGACTTATGTTGTTCTGGGTATTTTTGTAAAATTGTTGGTTCATTTCTGATATAAATATCTCGATTACAAAAAATCATGTCAAGCATTTTTCCATTGTCATTCAAACTTTCTCTACCACATTGCATTTTAATTCTAGTAGTTTGTTCAAAGTTCAGCATATGCCAAAGCTTCGTTCCTTGTGAAGCATTTTCAGCAAGATATTCCTGAATTTTGTGTTTATAAAATTCATCAAAGTTGAAATCACCGGATACGATGAAATTTTCATTTTCCCTTTCGTTTTTAATTTTCGATAGTTCTTCGAAAACATTTTTGAATCTTTGTTCTGGACAATTTGGGTGAATATAAACTGCTATTAAGTTAACTGTTTTAAATCCATCGCAATTGATAGTTGCACACAAACATTCTAACTCGCCTAACTTAGTACCGAACTTTCCATTTAATTCGTTATTAAGCTTTAGATTCACTGTCTTAACTGCAGCTATCAACACACCTCCTTTAGCTTTTTCTGAGTTTGTATATTGACCTGTTTTCTTCTTGAATCCATCAGTTCTTAAGATGTCAAAACTTTCGGGAAAACGTTCTTTCTTGTATTCTCGTGCATTTCCTGAATTATGTTTTGTTTCAACAAATATATAAACATCAATGTCGCTCTGTTTTGAATACTCCTTGAATTCATTTTTGAGGGATTTGTCACCACCAACATTTTGATAAAAAAACTTAATGGTTTTTTTGTCCGAGTTTAACACAGCATTTTCCATTGCAAACTTTAATAATTTTCAATAAATATTAACTTCTATAGATAAAACTTTACGAAGAGTTAAAGAAATCAAGACTGGCACTGTTCGAATAAAAACGAATACTTTTATATATGAAAATGAAAAAAAAAATTTCGATTCGTTGTGACTTATCACTTGCAGTGCCTTTCAGATAATGAAACTTTTTTCTTGCGAAATCTTGTTTAATCTAATCTATAATATTCTAGAATGTCATTAAAAAATAATCTTATCGTGAATTTAGTTCCGGTCATTACTCATTTCCTATCTGCAATCAATAATTTTGACTAAACAATTGAAAAACTTTTTTCTTATGTTTCCATATATTTTATTTTCTTATCATTCAGAAAATGGAGGAATAAACATTATTGGATTTTTCTTATTCCTTGTCGACGAATGTCAATGTACATTTTCCACAGTAAGCGCGATTTTCATGTGCGGCCATAAATACTCCAGCACCACAAGTTTCTGCTGGACATTCACGTCTCAAACGGTGGATTTTTCCATTTTCGTCGACCTTAACAAGATAAGTTCTTTAAATTGAATTTTTGTTAATAAAAATTAAATTAATGTTACCTTGTAATATTTCAAGACAGCAAGTTTGACCTTCTTTCTCTTATGCTTGATCTTTTTTGGTGTGGAATAATTCTTCTTCTTACGTTTCTTGGCACCACCACGAAGACGCAACACCAAATGAAGTGTTGACTCTTTCTGGATGTTGTAATCGCTAAGAGTACGTCCATCCTCTAATTGCTTACCAGCGAAGATCAAACGTTGCTGATCTGGCGGAATGCCTTCTTTATCTTGAATCTTTGCTTTGACATTCTCAATCGTATCCGATGGTTCAACCTCAAGGGTGATGGTTTTACCCGTCAATGTTTTGACGAAGATTTGCATGTTGGTGAATCTGTTAAATAGAAGAAATGTTAAAAAATATTATTAATTACATTATCTTTTAATTGCTTGATTTTTGTAGTATTATAATTGTCAAAAAATCAAATTTAATTTCAATTTTATTTCAGATAAAAATTAAAAGTTTCGCAAAACAATGGAAAAATGTTCTTAAAATTTAATTGAAGTTTAGACAAGAAGAATCGCATTTATGCATCCATCGTTCTCTGGATTATTTGTAACTTGTGCATATTTCCCCCAAACAACTTTTCCTGTTTGTGTTACTAAGCCCAGTTCTGAGATGTTCACTTCTATCACTGTTCCTTTTGTGATAACTCCTAAGCTGGTGTACATTGGAGAGTTTGGATTTTTCTTCACGCCAATGATTGGAAGATAAAATGTTGCTTTTAACTCCGGATGTGTGACGTGAGCTTTGTTGTAACGTAGAGCCATCGGTCGAATGAATCTTTCAAACTTTGGTGGTTTTCTCGTAAAGTTTTCACCAACATATGTGACTTTTGTTACCATTCGCTTCCAAGCTTTTCGTTTCGTCTTTCCACTGCGTAAAACTTTAAACACTTCAGCATCTGACTGAGCGCGAACTTTTGGAATTGGAACATCCCATTTGCCAGCTTTTTCTTTACGTTTTTGTTTGATCATATTTGATAAAACTTTAGCACTTGATTGAATTCCACGATCAAGGAGATAAGGCGGCAATGCTCCGTCCTCAACTTTTTCTGCTTGTTTCTTCACCTTCTTTTCTTCATGTGCTTGAATCTTACGTTTCATCTGAATCTTTTCATTACGACGTTCTTTTTGGAAAAGTTTAGCTTTGATGCCTCTCAATTCACGAGCCATTCTTGCACGTTTCTTAGGTGCGCGAGCTTCCTTCTTTCTTTGTCGTTCTTCATAATCCAATCGTCTGCCGTAAAGTTTACGGTGACGTTCCATATATTCATTTTGCGGCATGATTTATGATGGTGTTGTTGTCTAAAATTAAAAAATAAATAAAGAAAATGTAGCTTATTGCCATAATTCAGATTTTTATAAGATCCCAATTGAGGTTATGCTTTTACCGATTAGATTTTCTAATTTTATTTAGCTTATTAAATTCTTTTTTCCAATTTTAAAGCATACTAGAGGATCGGGATATCTGTATCTGAGTTATGACAATATTTAAGGAACTTTAGATATACTATAATTCATCACTCACCTGATGATGGTATAAATTATTTTTATTAAATTCACTCACTAAATCAGAAACAGAAATCCCACGAAATTATTGAATTAAATTTGTTTTACATGGATAAATACTATTTTCATTCATATATTTAAATTAGGTTGCAAACCGTGGAGAACTGGTGAGTGATTTAAGTTTTTTTCTTTTTCCAACAAAAAATAATCAACCATGTGAAGGAAATAAATTTTTCAATATTTTCCTATTTTAAAGGGTTTCTAATCAAGAAATTACAATTATTACCAATTCACTTTATGTTTAACTTGAACTCAGTAATATTTAAAAGACCGCAAATAGATTAAATACAATATAAACTTAATAAAAACAATATTTTTTACCTTTCTTTAAAACACCAGAAATCGAAAAGACAGATGTCGCTTCTGAAAGGAAGAAGCTTAAGGGGGTACAAATGTTTAAACTCAAAAATATGATCGTTAAATTTAGAAATAAGAAATTGTACAAACTTACGAAGAATTTAATCAAAACTAAATTGTTTATGTTCATTTAATTGTTTATTGAATTTATTCACAATGAAGGTAAAGTTGAACAAGAAACAATTTCCGGTTGCTTCATAACTACATACATATTTCTTAATTTTCTTTTAAAGAGATTTCAACGCAATTACAATTTGTCACTGACATTTTCTTTCAATTAGGTAATTTTAATTTCTTTTACATGATGAACCAATAAACACGAAAGTATTTAATCTTCTCTTAATATATTGTGCAATGATCTAATTGTTTGTTCTTCTCTTGTATGCTATATATTTATATAATATATATATATTTGATTCCTTAACTAATTGTTGTTATCTATCATCAGCTATTCACCATATAAGTGAGTGTTTGTGTGTGCGCATAATAATTTATGCCATTGCTGATCATTTTGGAGCAGTGTTTAATTAGGAATTGAGAATTTATAAAATTCTGCTGTTGACCGCTGCTCACAGTTAAGCAACGCAACTCTCAAATCGAGCACAAAATACAAACTATTCAACACCTCTAGTTCAATGTTATCTCTTTTCTCTTCTATTTAAATTATTAGATACCATTTTTAAATATTTTATTTAATTCTTTTTTCCTGGACAATTGCTGGAGCTTTTGATCTCTTTCAATGAACATTTCTACTATATAACATGTTCATCATTTATACGAGTTTTCATTCTTTTTATGTTGTCTTCATATATCTATTTCATTTATGTATCTATATTTTCTAATTAATTTATTTATCGTTCCCTCTTTCACAATCATTTATTGAACGCTTCAAAATGATGTCATGAAAATATCGAAGACAGAAATGAAATTTGAAAGAGAACAAATTCGTAACAAGCAAAAATACTGATTTGATGGAAATTCTTGTTGCTTTCTCTTGTGAAAAATTCTCTTTATGTATGCAAAATTAAAGAAGCATATGAAACTAATTAAATTATTCTCTCCTATAGGCAAAAAGGTATTTGAAGGACAGCAATAAAGAAAACTTTATGCTGTTCGTTTTAATGTACATGAAAACAGGAAATTCTGTTAAAAATTTACTGAGTTTTGAAATTAAAAATTATATTGCTGTTCATTTAAATTTTATAACTTTCGTTGGTTACATGAATTTTCATCCCACATAGGATTTATTTCTTCACATAAATTTTTAAAAAGAAAATAAAGCAGAAGCGAAAAAATTCTGACAATAATAAACAAAACATTGAACATAAACACCAACAAAAACCCATTAAATGCACTTTTTCTGTGTTTTTTTTTTCTTCTTTTTCATTATAATTTAATTCAATTCGTGGAATTATTAAGGAAAAAAGAAAGATTAAGAATAAATTGAAATCAGAGACACTAAATCAAAGAGAAAATAATTATAAAAATTGTGTTCATAAAAATAATAGGATCTTGTTTTAGTACTCCTTTCCCCACCCACACTTTTCTCTGACTTTTCGAGTAACATTTAAATGAAGAAATTTAATCATCGTCGCCTCGCATGCCTCGCACTTCACCCAACTGCCTTTGCTTGTCAAGTTCTTCTTTGGTCTTTTCTTCAATCGCGCGAATGTCTTCCATTGTGAGGCCATGCCACTGATCAATCCAACAGAAAACTTGTCTGTTAAATAAAATTAAAATTTGGTGAGCTGTTGATGTAAGGAAAATAAAATTTACCGATGGAAAGTTGTGAAAAGTCGCCGCTCTGACTTTTGAATAAAATTTTCTACTCGTCCTTGAAGTCCGAACCATTTAAATTCACATGTTACGAGCTTATAGCATGTCATAACAGGATTGACTTTTTTTCTCCAGTCTGGTCCAATGAGTGGTCCACGGCCGGTTTTTTGCGATTTGAATCTAAAAATGAATTTATGAAGAACATCATAAAAGAATTCACTGCAATTAAAACTTCATTAAAGTTTCTTCTTACTTGGTGGGATCTTCACTTTCACGGTAATCCGCATGAGCGATGTGATCATTGGCAATATCAACTTGGACGACTTCACGAATTTTAAGCTTCTCGCCAGTTAACTCATGAACCTTTTGTATTTTAATAAATAAAGAAAAGAAATCTTTTTGAAAATAAAACTCCATTGAAAGTCATGCCAAATTATTTTTTCATTAACACTCAACATTACAAATGACTATTATAAAACCTTTTACGCCAATTTTATGATAGTTAGTTACAGAAAGATATACAAAACATGCTTTGATATTCATAACGAACAACATTAACATTTTATTATTTGTCTTACGTTCTCCTGTTCTCCTGTATCCGCAATGTGAAGCGATTCAATGCAGATCATAAAGTTTTCTTTCATATATCCAGGATTCTTTATGACGAAATCATTTTAAATGTGTTTCCCACGTTTTCGTTTAATTAACCAACATTAATTATTATTTACACACCACCAAAAGTTTTCAAAAGATAAATAATAGAAATAAATATTTCAAGTGTTTCCAATCACCAGCCAGACAGTCGTCGTCAAATCCAATCACGTCATCGTCAGTTTATGTTAAATTTTTAATCGAGTGTTATGCAACAATTTTTTGTGTAGGTGTTGTTTTATTTATTTTGTTTATTTCGTTTGATTTTTTATAAATTTTTGAACATGGAAGAAGCAGCGCGCAAAAGGAAAGCAAAAGAAAAGAAAAAAAGAAAAACTACCATTAATAACATCCATCGACTGTTACTTACATTTTCTTGATCACCCATGTCATTTGCATGAAGTGTCTCTATAATTAACGTAAATTTCTCCTTCATCCACTTGGGATTCTATAAATTGAAATTTTATGTATTTAACTTTATTCGTTGATCATCATGAGATCATCTCATTCTCTTAATGATCAAATCAAAAGACACGAGTCTAGAAATGTTTATTTCGAAATTGAACTATGATTGTTTATTTACCGTAATGACTGTCCGGCAGTAAGGGTAAGCATTCCATGCTTCCTCGTGAATTTCTAACGAGCCTTTTGGTGCCACGAGACGGATCATTGCTGGTACTAAAAAGGAGATAAGAGATTAATTTATTAGTTCAGTTGTGCAAATAGTAACAATTATTATGACTCGTTGTGATCTTTGCAACTTTATTTTCTCGTCAGCAATTGACTTTCATAAAGAATTTACAATGAGATCTTTAGAATAGTGAAGTGAACTTACCTTTTGAAGCCAAATGGTAGATTTTGTATGTATACTGACCAGATGAATACTTTCCACCTATGTGAAAAAAAAGTTAAAATACTTCATGGTTTTTAATTCGTTTTAACAATCTCAACTCACCCAATAAAGGGAAATTGTCAAATGGTTCATTCTTGAGAACCTCAATACCTTCTCCACCCCCTGTTTCATTTTTCGATACTTCAGCAACGGAGTAAAGTTGCGCCACTTGATACTTTCACACGAGAAGAAAAGAAAAAGTTAAGAAAATTGAATCAATTTTTTATTCATGCTCGTTGTTCAGAATGCTACTAAAAAATGTCATTCGAATCTCAGCGTCAATCCCGACCTACCACAATTTATTTCTTTGAAAATCACATGTGATTCACTCGAAATTAACATACGAAATCATCGAATGACAAATAATCATCATAGCTGATTTGAAGGTGATACTTACTTCTTCAACAGTCAGTGGCAGAACAACGCGGCTGAGAAGACAAAAAGATAAACGTGTTTAATTAAACTTTTTTTTCACATAAATAATTATTAACAATGAGATTCGCGTGTTTGACGTAAGCGCTACTTAGGTAGGCAACAAATATCAAAGAAAAGCTCCTAATTGATTCAGGCATGACTCATCTCGTGCTTTCATAAAATACATCACCCACTTGATGACGTCATTTGAATGGTCAATGGTAAACGATTCAACCGTTTCACTTAATTGAATAAGTCATACCTTTTCCATTATGCAGAAACTGATATTTTTGTCAGTTTTGAGAAGATAAATGGTATGATTGTTTGTCACTTCAATAATTAACTCTCTATCTCCGTGTGAAGCGAAAAGAAAAAAAAATTCCTTAAAGCAAGGAATTTTTTTTTGATATTAAAACATTGGATTGTTTTAAAGGTATTTTGCTTTTTTGTTTGATAAGATAGCGTTTATCAACTTGTTGATTATAGTAAGGAACTTAAATATGATCTGTCATTTCACCAAATTGTGTTAATTTTATTTTTTGCAACACATTTTTTATATTTGTCATCATTGATGTTGGCAATATTGCTTTTTAATTTGAGCATCAATTCTTAAATTTGCACGAATTGCTAGCATTTTCCATGACTTTGAATTTTTTCACGAGTCGATTTTAAGTTAATTAATGTTTACGGGCTATCAATGTAAATCACTTATGCAGAAGAATGAGTATGAAAAAGGGAGAAAAAATTGATTTTTCCAAGAATCTTTTTACAGAAGCATATTCTGATTATTGTAAACTGAACAAACACACTTTTGACACTTATTAACTTACAATTCTTTGATGAGCATTTTTTACTATTATTTGTAGTACTTTAGTCTTCAATAATTGCAGAATTAATAATTTTGATTCGCCTAAAGATTTAAGGTCGAGTCGAACTTCGACAGTGCTGAAAATGAATTTTAATTTGCTGTTGTCGAAGTTAAAAATAAGAGGCTCAGAAGCATTAAAATTAAAGCGACGCTTCATATTATTTTAATTCATCAAAGAATCTTAAAAATATTCTTAAATATTGAATGACATCAGTAAATATTAAAATAGATACATTACTTTTATTATGATGAAAAAGTTTGTCAATGATTCATTTAGATATGCTTGTTGATAACATGAAAAAATTTCGTCAGAAATATTATTGTGACTGCGGCTGACTAAAGAAATTACATGGAAATTGGCGCGAGTTTTACAATCATAATTAGTGCCTTATTATTAAAATACATCCAAATCTGATGGTATAAAGCAAAATGAAACGTGGTGGATTTAACAAATGGAACCCTTGGAAGGCAAGATCTAGTGGAGGATTTCAACAACCAAAAGATAAACCTCTTTACTCTATAACGAATGACATTAAAAAAAATTCCGATAGTGACAGNCTTGGCGATGAGAAGCGCGGCTATCATCTTGAAGTTTTACTCTCAAAAGCTGTTTTTCATAAGCAATCCCACATTCAGATTATTGCCATGTCAGCGACAATTTCAAATCTTAAAGAAATTGCTCGATTTCTAAATGCTGTCGTCTACACAAGAGAATTCCGTCCAGTTGAACTTAAAGAGTATGTCAAGATCGGATCAGACATCTTTTCAGTTGATGGGAAAGCTCGATTTTTGTCAGATGCTTTCAAAGTGTCTAGAAATGACTTTGGCAAAGAATACACAAGGCAAATGCTTAAAAGAGATCCTGACCATCTTGCCGCACTTTCTCTAGAAATCATTCCGAAATCTTCATGTTTGATCTTCTGTGCCACTAAACAGAATTGCGAGAATGTTGCCAAATTATTGACTGAGTTGCTGCCACAAGAATTGATTGAATGGAAGAAGGAAGAGAAATTGACACTCATGGAACACATAAAGGCAGACGCCAATGGTCGCATTTGTCCAATTCTTGCGAAAACAATTCCATTTGGAATTGCTTATCATCATTCTGGAATGACTAACGATGAAAGAAAACATTTGGAAGAAGCTTATCGATGTAACATAATTTGCATCATTTGTTGTACTTCCACTTTAGCTGCTGGCGTTAATTTACCAGCACGACGTGTGATAATTCGGTCGCCTTATGTTGGCCAACATTTCTTAACATTGTCAAGATACAAGCAAATGATTGGAAGAGCTGGGCGTGCTGGAAAATGTTCATCTGGTGAGAGTATTTTAGTGTGTGATCCGAAAGATTATCAAAAGTTGACAACTTTGTTATGTTCTAAAATGGACGAGACGATCAGTGGATTTGTTCAAGATGTAAGTGGAATGTTTATTGAAACGGTGATTCTCAATCTGATTGGAACGAAAGTTGCAACTTCCATTGATGATCTTATTGACTTCTTCAAGTGTTCTTTGTTAAGTGTACAAATTCATCGAACTGAAACAAATTTACGTGAGAATATTGTTAATAATGTGAAGATGTTAATGAACAAAGGTGCACTTGTCTTCACATCGACATCAAATGGTGAACGTCATCCTTCATTCGTCATTGATGAAGATTGTGAAAGTTCACGAAAAGTTTTCCCTGATGACTTACTTGAAGTGAGTCAAGTTGGAATGGCTGCTGTGAATGCGGGAATGAGCTTTGAAGAAGGAAGAAGAGTTGAAAGTGCACTACAAAAAGCACAAATGAATTTTGTACTCACTCAATGCTTGCATCTTTTATACATTGTTACGCCGAATGACATTGCTGACACTGTCAAGCCAAATTATTCACTTTTCAATAAGATCATCATGCAAATGAATTCTTCAACGTTGAACACTGCAAAAGTCATTGGAATATCTGAAAGTTTAGCCATGCGAATGATTACCAGTCCAAGTTCAATTAAGATGAACGAAATGTCAATTCTTAAACGTTTTTATGTTGCGCTTATTATTTATGATCTTTGGAATGGAAATGAAATTTATCACGTTTCTGAGAAGTTTAAGATTAGTCGAGGTGTTGTTTATAGCCTTATGAACTCAACGTCATCAAATGCTTATAGCATTTTGAGATTTTGTGAGAAATATGAAGACTTTTGGATGTTTAAAGAAATTCTTGACAAGTTTTCTAAACGACTTTGTTACTGTTGTTCAACAGAACTCTTGGAACTTATGGAATTGCCAGCTGTTAAAATTGTAAGTTTCTTCCTAGATTTTTTTTTTTAAAAAGGAAAAATTAAAAATTATTAATTACAGGGGCGAGCGAAATTGATGTATGCGGCTGGATTCAAGACAATTGAGGATGTGGCCTCTGTGATGCCAGCAGAATTAGTCAAAGCAATTAAGAACTTAAACATGAGACAAGCGGATCAGATAGTTAAATATGCGAGATATCAAACAATGGCGAAAATTGGATTGTATCAAGATCGGTTAGAAGAAATGAAAAATGTTAATAAAAACAGAAAAGATAATAATAAATCTTAGACAAAAAAAAATTATGTTGAACACAAAATAAAAATGTTTGTAAAGTTATTATTTATTTTCCTTACTTCTTCTTTACAGATTAAATAATTAAATATTATGAATGAAAATTTCTTTCTATCGAAATCTTATCGAATTGAATTAAAAATGTTTTTAAAAGTATTTTATGCCGTGATGTTTCATCACACACTCGCCTCTCGAAATCTTCATTACTGCTGTTGCAGTCAGCAAACAGAAAGAAATCATTGCCAGAAGACCCAGGATCCTGTGATGAATATGTTATCCTTTATACTTTACCGGTATTTTGCTTTTTTGTTTGATAAGATAGCGTTTATCAACTTGTTGATTATAGTAAGGAACTTAAATATGATCTGTCATTTCACCAAATTGTGTTAATTTTATTTTTTGCAACACATTTTTTATATTTGTCATCATTGATGTTGGCAATATTGCTTTTTAATTTGAGCATCAATTCTTAAATTTGCACGAATTGCTAGCATTTTCCATGACTTTGAATTTTTTCACGAGTCGATTTTAAGTTAATTAATGTTTACGGGCTATCAATGTAAATCACTTATGCAGAAGAATGAGTATGAAAAAGGAAGAAAAAATTGATTTTTCCAAGAATCTTTTTACAGAAGCATATTCTGATTATTGTAAACTGAACAAACACACTTTTGACACTTATTAACTTACAATTCTTTGATGAGCATTTTTTACTATTATTTGTAGTACTTTAGTCTTCAATAATTGCAGAATTAATAATTTTGATTCGCCTAAAGATTTAAGGTCGAGTCGAACTTCGACAGTGCTGAAAATGAATTTTAATTTGCTGTTGTCGAAGTTAAAAATAAGAGGCTCAGAAGCATTAAAATTAAAGCGACGGCTTCACTTTATTTTGGTCTATCAAAGAAATCTTCAAAATATATTCTCAAACACTGAATGACATCAGTAAGTATTAATCATTACTTAATCATAACTACATAGTGCCTTGCTATTAAAACACATCCAAATCTGATGGTATAAGGTAAAATGAAACGTGGTGGATTTAACAAATGGAACCCTTGGAAGGCAAAATCCAGTGGAGGATTTCAACAACCAAAAGATAAACCTCTTTACTATATAACGAATGACAATAAAAACAATTCCGATAGTGCCAGTGTAAATATTGATAAAGACAGCTCACATTTAACTTTTTCAACTGATTTGGAGAGTGGATGGTTTGCAGGATGGAAATTATACTTCCCAGAAAAAAGTAAGTTTAATGAAGTCTTTGAAATGTTATTTAAAGTAAAAAATTTGTATCCAAAGGTTTCAAGAAATCGGTTGACTTAGTTCAACGAATTCGTGCAATGGAAAAACATTTTGCCACTTTCAGTCATTGGTATGACACAACGGAAATAAGCCAGAATTGTGAACTTTTTCTGAATCTACAGAACATTGAAGAAGATGAAACACTTTTCATCGAATGGTCAAACTTTTTTGATGAATTAAGGACGAAAACAACACAAACTTTGGCTTGTGTGTCACTTGCAATGCACAACATAATTTTGAATAATATTAAAGAAACATCACAGACTAATGAAATTTCACAACATAAAAAGATATTTACAAGGTGAGTTGAAGATATTTATTGGATGACAACAAAATTGAAGAAATCACTTTCAGACCTGTTGGCTTTGAACCAAAAATAAATTTAAATAAAGCTCTTGAAACGTATAACGAGCTTATTACTGTCAGTGGAACTGTTATCCGTGTAGAACCTTTCGAACTCGCTACCAAAATGATTTGCTTTCGGTGTAAAATGTGCAACGCAGAACTTGTTGTTAAACAAACCAGACAAAGTTCTCAAGATGTAAATCCATCGTCATGTCACAAGGGATGTCCAGCTCGTGGTAATTTTGTTAAACAACTCTCATCGCCTTTTACCTCATATTACCCGAAACAAATGATAAAGATTCAAGAATCATTGACTGAGGATTCTGAGAAGATACTACGAACATTAGACGTGGAATTGATTCAAACGTTTGTCAACACTGTTGTCGTTGGATCAATTGTGACTGTAACTGGCGTTATTAAACATGGATTTGGTAAATCACAGCAATTCTTGGAAAAGGGAGAAGCCAAATCATTCAAACCTTATCTCAAATGTTTCTCGATGGAAGGAAAACGTCAATCAAAGATTCGTGATGAAATGACGCCAAAAGATTTAGAATTCATTCAAATGATGAAAGCTGAGCCGTCACCATTTCGAATGTTGGTTCATTCATTATGTCCAACAATTTATGGGCGTGAAGAAATTAAAGCTGGATTGGTGTTGGCGCTTCTTTCAGGACGCGATCTTGTGACAAAAAGACGTTCAGAGAGTCACGTTTTGTTGGTTGGAAATCCTGGCACTGGAAAATCAAAACTTCTTCAATCATGCACAGAAGCTTCTAGCAAAGGAATTTATGTGAATGGACCAACAAGTACTGGAGTTGGTCTCACAGCATCAGTTGGAACAAAAGGTGATATTGAAGCTGGAGCTTTAGTTTTAGCAGATGGTGGCGCTTGTTGCATTGACGAGTTTGATAAAATGTCAGCTCATTCTCATATTCTTCTCGAGTCAATGGAACAACAAACTATAAGCATTCAAAAAACTGGAATTTACGCTAATCTTCCTTCACGTGTTGTCATCATTGCAGCTGCTAATCCTGTTAGTAGCTTTTATGATGATTCGAAGACACTCAAAGAAAATGTTAAAATTTCAGCACCGATAATGTCGCGCTTTGATCTGATTCTTCCACTCAGAAATCATGGAAGGGAAATCGATGAACAATTCTTAGCACATGTAACAAAAGGCCACGACTTTAGTAACACATCAAAGAATTCATTCTTTAGTCCCACAACATCTGCGAAATGTAAACGAGAGAACAGAAATAATTTAAATTGGTTGAAAAAAGAGTCGAATGAAGATGTCGATGTGCTTCCGTCACAAATGCTTCGACTTTACATTGCATACGCTCGTGATAATTTTCATCCAAAACTTTCAAATGAAGCAATAAACGAAATTAGAAGCTTTTACATAATCTTGAAGAAGTCAAGTGTTGGTGTTGATGTTCAACCGATATCAAATCGTCAACTTGAAGCTTTAATGCGTTTAACGCTTTCACGAGCTCGTGCTGATCTCGTTACTGAAGCAACTCGCGATCACGCCCTTGACGTCATAAATTTATTTAAGTTCAGCATGACTGATGTCTTTGATAATGATGATCCCAGTGAAACCATTGGATCGTCATTACCCAAAAAGCGTCAAAATATCAATGTGTCGTCAATGAGTAAACCCAAANTCTATCTCCGTGTGAAGCGAAAAAAAAAAAAATTCCTTAAAGCAAGGAATTTTTTTTTGATATTAAAACATTGGATTGTTTTAAAGGTATTTTGCTTTTTTGTTTGATAAGATAGCGTTTATCAACTTGTTGATTATAGTAAGGAACTTAAATATGATCTGTCATTTCACCAAATTGTGTTAATTTTATTTTTTGCAACACATTTTTTATATTTGTCATCATTGATGTTGGCAATATTGCTTTTAAATTTGAGCATCAATTCTTAAATTTGCACGAATTGCTAGCATTTTCCATGACTTTGAATTTTTTCACGAGTCGATTTTAAGTTAATTAATGTTTACGGGCTATCAATGTAAATCACTTATGCAGAAGAATGAGTATGAAAAAGGGAGAAAAAATTGATTTTTCCAAGAATCTTTTTACAGAAGCATATTCTGATTATTGTAAACTGAACAAACACACTTTTGACACTTATTAACTTACAATTCTTTGATGAGCATTTTTTACTATTATTTGTAGTACTTTAGTCTTCAATAATTGCAGAATTAATAATTTTGATTCGCCTAAAGATTTAAGGTCGAGTCGAACTTCGACAGTGCTGAAAATGAATTTTAATTTGCTGTTGTCGAAGTTAAAAATAAGAGGCTCAGAAGCATTAAAATTAAAGCGACGCTTCATATTATTTTAATTCATCAAAGAATCTTAAAAATATTCTTAAATATTGAATGACATCAGTAAATATTAAAATAGATACATTACTTTTATTATGATGAAAAAGTTTGTCAATGATTCATTTAGATATGCTTGTTGATAACATGAAAAAATTTCGTCAGAAATATTATTGTGACTGCGGCTGACTAAAGAAATTACATGGAAATTGGCGCGAGTTTTACAATCATAATTAGTGCCTTATTATTAAAATACATCCAAATCTGATGGTATAAAGCAAAATGAAACGTGGTGGATTTAACAAATGGAACCCTTGGAAGGCAAGATCTAGTGGAGGATTTCAACAACCAAAAGATAAACCTCTTTACTCTATAACGAATGACATTAAAAACAATTCCGATAGTGACAGTGTAAATATTTATGATAAAGATAGCTCACATTTAACTTTTTCAACTGATTTGGAGAGTGGATGTTTTGCAGGATGGAAATTATACTTCCCCGAAAAAAGTAAGTTTATTGAAATCTATAAAATGTTATTTAAAGTAAAATAAAAAATCTCTAAAGGTTTCAAGAAATCAGTTGATTTAGTTCAACGAATTCGTGCAATGGAAACACATTTTGCCACTTTCAGTCATTGGTATGACACAACAGAAATAAGCCAGAATTGTGAACTTTTTCTGAATCTACAGAACATCGAAGAAGATGAAACACTTTTCATCGAATGGTCGAACTTTTTTGATGAATTAAGGACCAAAACAACACAAACTTTGGCTTGTGTGTCACTTGCAATGCACAACATAATCTTGAATAATAGTAAAGAAACATCACAGACTAGTGAAATTTCAAAACATCAAAAGATATTTACAAGGTAAGTCGAAGATATTTATTGGATGACAACAAAATTGAAGAAGCAACTTTCAGACCTGTTGGCTTTGAACCAAAAATAAATTTAAGTAAAGCTCTTGAAACGTATAACGAGCTTATTACTGTCAGTGGAACTGTTATCCGTGTAGAACCTTTCGAACTCGCTACCAAAATGATTTGCTTTCGGTGTAAAATGTGCAACGCAGAACTTGTTGTTAAACAAACGAGACAAAGTTCTCAAGATGTGAATCCATCGTCATGTCACAAAGGATGTCCAGCTCGTGGTAATTTTGTTGAAAAACTCTCATCGCCTTTTACCTTATATTACGCGAAACAAATGATAAAGATTCAAGAATCATTGACTGAAGATTCTGAGAAGATATTACGAACATTAGACGTGGAGTTGATTCAAACGTTTGTCAACACTGTTGTCGTTGGATCAATTGTGACTGTAACTGGCGTTATTAAACATGGATTTGGTAAATCACAGCAATTCTTGGAAAAGGGAGAAGCCAAATCATTCAAACCTTATCTCAAATGTTTCTCGATGGAAGGAAAACTTCAATCAAAGATTCGTGATGAAATGACGCCAAAAGATTTAGAATTCATTCAAATGATGAAAGCTGAGCCGTCACCATTTCGAATGTTAGTTCATTCATTATGTCCGACAATTTATGGACGTGAAGAAATTAAAGCTGGGTTGGTGTTGGCGCTTCTTTCAGGACGCGATCTTGTGACAAAAAGACGTTCAGAAAGTCACATTTTGTTGGTTGGAAATCCTGGCACTGGAAAATCAAAACTTCTTGAATCATGTACAGAAGTTTCTAGCAAAGGAATTTACGTCAATGGACCAACCAGTACTGGAGTTGGCCTCACTGCATCAGTTGGAACAAAAGGTGAAACTGAAGCTGGAGCTTTACTCTTAGCAGATGGTGGCGCATGTTGTATTGACGAGTTTGATAAAATGTCAGCTCATTCTCATATTCTTCTCGAGTCAATGGAACAACAAATAATAAGCATTTCTAAATCTGGAATTTACGCTAATCTTCCTTCACGTGTTGTCATCATTGCAGCCGCTAATCCTGTTAGTAGCTTTTATAATGACTCGAAGACACTCAAAGAAAATGTTAGAATTTCAGCACCGATGATGTCACGCTTTGATCTGATTCTTCCACTCAGAAATCATGGAAGAGAAATCGATGAACAATTCTTAGCACATGCAACAAAAGGCCACAATCTCAGTAACACATCAAAGAATTCGTTCTTTAGTCCCACAACATCTACGAAATGTAAACGAGAGAACAGAAATAATTTAAATTGGTTGAAAAAAGAGTCGAATGAAGATGTCGATGTGCTTCCGTCACAAATGCTTCGACTTTACATTGCATACGCTCGTGATAATTTTCATCCAAAACTTTCAAATGAAGCAATAAACGAAATTAAAAGCTTTTATTTGAATCTGAAGAAGTTAATTGTTGGTGTTGATGTTCAACCGATATCAAATCGTCAACTTGAAGCTTTAATGCGTTTAACGCTTTCACGAGCTCGTGCTGATCTCGTTAATGAAGCAACTCGCGATCACGCCCTTGACGTCATAAATTTATTTAGGTTCAGCATGACTGATGTCTTTGATAATGATGATCCGAGTGAAACCATTGGATCGTCATTACCAAAAAAGCGTCAAAATATGAATGTGTCGTCATGGAGTAAACCTAAACAAATGAAAGCATTTTACGAACATCTTCAGACTGAAAAAGAATCTCAAGATCGCGATATATTCACATCAAGTGAACTGAAATCAATGGCTAAGGAGATTGGAGTTAAAGATTTTGATGATATCGTTTATCAACTCAATAACATGGCTTATATTCTTCAGAAGCCGAATGGTTGGAAAGTATGTTAATTAAATGATTTCATCTTGGAGATTCCTTTTATTGTGTTTAATAAATAATTTAATAAATAATTCTAAATCTAAGAAATGTAAATCAATTCTTTCTTTTCATGATGTAATTCTTCACTGAATCGTTAACTTCTGTCGTCGTCTCTTCTACTGAATTGCTTTCGGTTGTTGTTGAATCTTCTTGTCGTCTAATTTGCTTTCTTCTCTTTCTAATAATTCCCGTTGAAGTTTCATTTGGTGCTCGACATTCGGTATAAAGTTTTGCACAATCGGTGAACTTCTTTGGTGCTTGTGGACCTTCTTTTGATGTCACGTACTCTTTGAACAATTCAACTCTGTTGGTAATTTTTCTTATTTTAATAAAATGATAAAACAGAAAGGAATTAATTTGACTCACCCAACATATCTCATTGCATATCCCAAGAAAGGATTTCTGAATTCCAATTCACAAACAAATCTTTTTTTGCATTGATCTGTGTTGACTCCAAGAAATCTAAAGAGAAGATCTCCAAAAAGTGTCACTGACTCTTCATTGAGTTGTCTGCCTCTGACACGACGTCGCCGATTTGGATATGAAAAAGCAGCAGCTGCTTGTGGTGATTGTTCAGCCATACCACTTGGTGGTAGATATGGAGATCCTGAATAACTTTGAACACCTTGAGATGGTCCAACTTCAGGATCTGACGTAGAGTAGCTTTGGGAACTTTGAGGTGGTCCGACTTCAGGATCTGAACCAGACGCTGATGGTGGCAAATACATGGAAGAACCAGAAAAGCCATGTGATGATCCAACTGGTGGTCCAGGGGTGTGCGAATAAATTCCACTGTAATCACCACCACTGAAAGAATCATGAAAACTACCAGGAAATGATGAAATGCCTTCAGATGAAAATCCTCCACTGCTATGATGATATGGGACAACCATCTCGTGATGATTCTTAACAATCTCTTGCACAATCGGTTCTGGACATCCGAGTGCTGTTCCTTGCCATATTTTCAATCCATAAAAGATTCCGCCACCAATGAAGAGAAGCAGGAGAATGATTTTGATTTTTATCGTGATAAATATTGAGATTGCTTTCAATCCCCACCCTAAATGAAGTAGAATAAGAAAGAAATTTTATTTTTATTGTTAAATTCATCAAATGTTTTCTTAAAGTAAACGAATTTTTAAAAATTACTAATTTCATTTATTATTTCATTTCTTTTGCTTTAGAAGATTTTGTTTAGAAATTTCACTAAAATTTCCTAATCCAACTTTTATTTTCACTTCGTTGATTGTTTTTTCAGCGACTTCTCTTGCTTTGTCACTTCCTTGATTTAAAATATTACACAAATGATCTGGATTTTTAAGATAATCTTCTATTTTAATTCTAATTGGGTTTATATGTTCGATTAAAGCATCAGCGACGATGAGTTTGTATCTGAAAATGAGAAATTAGTAAGAGAATGTTAAACTTTTGTTTCGTTACTTACTTTCCCGTGTCGACATCTTTGACTTCATCACAAATTGATTGAACACTTTTCCCACTCACCATTGAATGCATTGTGAGTAAATTAGCTACACCAGGTCGAGTTAAAGGATCAAAAGTTACCTCAGAAGTGCAATCAGTTATTGCTTTCTTTACTTTTCCTTTAATAACTTCAGGTGTGTCTGTAATCATCACACAACTCTTAGGATCAGGATCTGACTTTGACATTTTTTTCGATGGGTCACGTAGAGATTTTATTCGACAACTTGCATCTTCAGCCACCATCGCCTGACACATTGGAAATGTTTTTCCAAATCGATGATTGAAAAGTTTTGTGAGACTTAAAGCAAGTTGAAGATGTTGAAGTTGATCTTCGCCAACTGGAACATGCGTTGCTCTGTGAACCGTAAATATTTATTAAAATTCTTTTATTGACTTATTACTTACTTATAAAGCATGATATCAGCAGCTTGAAGAACTGGATAGAGATAAAGTCCAAGTGGAATTTCCTTCATTGCTGCTGATTTATCTTTATACTGAGGCAAATGAGTGAGTCTTGCCATTGTTGTGATACATCCAAGAATCCAACAAAGTTCAGAATGTTCTTTTATTGACGATTGGAGGAACAATGTTGACTTGTTTGGGTCAATACCACAAGCTAATAATGAAGCACAAATCCTCAAACTATTATTTCGCAATTCTAAAGGGTTTTGAGGCAATGTTATTGAATGAAGATCAACAATACAATAAGTAACATCATTCTCATCATTTTGAAGGTCTACCCATCTTCGAATAGCACCTAAATAATTTCCAATGTGCAGATCACCAGTTGGTTGAATACCGGAAAAAACTTTCTTCACTTCATTATGCTAAAATAAAACACTTTAATACATTTTAGTCTCAAACGAAAATTCCTCTTAATATCACCTTTGAATTGCAAAAGTTTCTATACACACTTTTGGGTGAGGATCTTATAAACTGATTTAAAAGTTGCCTACTAATCATTATTTTTATATAAACGATAAATTCTTAAAAATATGATGTGAACTTTTTCAATATTTATTGTTTTCATCAGGAATTTATTTAGCAAGGACACAAATCTTTTCGAACTTTCACTTTCATTTTAAAATTTTAACCGTTAAATTTCATCGCTTCACTTCATCCTTAATGAATTCGGTTTTCTTTTTCACATTTACTAATAAATTGAAATAAATCATTAAAAATTGAACATCTATGTAGTTCGGTGGTCTTTGTTACATTCTACTAATTCACTTAATCACTTATTTGAAATTGAAAACTTCTTTTATTTGATGACAGATCACTTTCCATACTGACATAATTTTGGGTTGAATGCTTTCGCAATGCACGTTCTTAAGTTTAAATTTCATCGAGTTTTAAAGTTTAAACATTTTATTTTAATATCTTTATAGGTAAAAAAACTCTTTTTAATGTCAACACTTACACCATACTGCCTTTGCAATTGCAAATTTCTTTTTTCTCCGTGCTTCATCACCATAAGAATCTATTGAAGACGTGCTTGTTCTGTTCTGAGCTCCAACTACCACAAGTGTATATAAAATAACCAAAACTATAAAAATCAAGTGCAGTAATTTAAACATAATCTTGATGTATCACTATTTAATTAATATTTTTTAAATCAAACTCTTTGAAGATCAAACAGACGATTTTATTTGATTTATTTGTTCCGGCAGATGAATTTAGACTGAGAGTCACAAAATTTGTCAAAGGTCTTTTATATTTTCTCTAGAAATGTCTCGGCACGTTTCTTTTACTTTTATTTTCATATACATTTGTCTATAAGTGATAAAGATCACAATTGATGGGAGAATGAATAAGATAAAGATACGAATTATCAAGTTTAATGAAATAGCTTTTCCTAGTCATTTCGTTCACGCCTTTAAGTAAACTGAAGCATCAATCTGATACTTCAAAACTAATCAGAAACCCTGACTCGTGAGAATTTCTCTGTAAGCTCATCGAACAGAAATGAGATCAAAAAAAGGTGCTAATCACTTTCTTCGCCGTGAAAAATGAAATTTTATTTGTTTGCATAAACTTTTATCAAGGTATGACAATGATTTTCCTTTCGATTTCCATTCACCACATAATTATCAAAATAATGTTCATGGTTTTATTAAATTGGAACAAACACGAAAGGAGCTTTTCTAATAAATGAGGAATTGATGATGAACTACACGAAAATAAATAAATATCAAGTCAAACCAAATCATTTTAAATTCTTTAATCAATTTTTACTTTTATTTTTTTCTTCTACAAACGCAAATAAAAATTCATCAATATTTTTTATTATTTACTCACATTTTGGTATCTTTCTTGATAGGAAAAAAACTACGTTTTATTAGTGAAATATGTTTGGTAAAACATTCCTAAAGATGATGATGCAAACCAAACAAAAACGGTCCACCAAGTAGCAAATCCAAGCACACCACGATAAACTTCTTCAGTGAAAACTGATTTTAGATTCTGAAGAGATAAATGAAAGCTTTCGGCAACTTGAACGATACTTGGTTCTATTGGCTCGGTAACCTGTGGAGTTTCAGTCGTTGTTGCTGGTATTAAATCATCTAAGTCAGCTGAACATTCTTCAGCAACTAGAATATTTGTTTTCCATGACCACGAATAACCACCAAGAGTCTTATACATAAATGACAAGAAAAGACACATGAGAATAGGCGCTGCATACTGAAGCGTCACAACACAAAGATAATAGAAAATTGATGTGATTTTCCTCTGAAATTCTGTGTTGGTTATTCTTCCAGCTTCTTTCTTCTGATCTTCAACACGATCGAAAGCAAGATTTAAATACGCTTGAAGATAAATTGGCATTAAACAGATTCGTAGAATCACAGCGAAAATTATTGCATAAAGTCGCATTGCTTCAAACATTTCCGACTCCATCAAAGGCTTCTCCATTCCCGAGAAGATTCGCGTTGTTAAATAATCACGACTGACTGGCTTCACCCATAAAAGAACAAGCAAGAATGGCATAGCGAAGTTTATGTTGAGAATGATTTTTAAAAGTTTTCTATCTTTGCAATATTTAAGTGAATCGAAATGCATTTTTGCCATGCGAAGGCCGGGAAAAGTAAAAATGGCACCTGAGAGTTAATTTTAATTGGATTAAAGGGTTGATTGAATGTATTGTAATCACATTGTTACCTATAATACCGCAACAAACAGCAATGAAGAATAACAAAACAATTTTTGAGGCTGGTCCACTATTAGACACGCCTTGTTCAGCGAGAAACTTTCCAGCACCTTCATTAAATTTATCATAAGCTGTATTCAACCCAACCTCAAGAATTCTTTCAGGAAGGATGACAGCAATCATAGCTATAAGCAAGTAAATAAATCCAGTGACGATGCATGTTGACCTCTCACCGATTGATTCGTCACTTTTGAAATATTGAATAGTGAGCGATGCTAGCAATTTGCTAGAAAGAGTAGAAGTTTATGCATGAATTGCAATTGTTACAAAAGTGTTAATCAACTTACAAAGCGAAGAATATCACTAACAGACACCACAGCATACTCAAATTAACTTCGTCTTTGATGGGCACGAAGAAATGATAAGTCTCCGATATGCAATAAACAATCGCGGCATAAAGGCTGAAATCAATCAACCATTGATATTCTGTGAAATATCTGAGATGTAGCACATCGTAGTGAGTTATTTTTGTGGTTTCCAATTGAATATCAAGGCATCTTGGTATGTGGAAACTTGATGACTTCTCTGTATGAGTATAACCATTTCTTTTGTCTTTTCCTCTCCCGCTTTTCTCTTTTGGTACTCCTGCTAATTGCCTAAGTTCATCATCAGTTGGATGTAAATACCTTAAAAGGCTGAAAAACATTTTTCAATGAATAATTTTTTTTTCTTTACACAATTTTTTAAAATCAAAACTCACCCAGTCGAGCATAAAATCCACTTTGCCAGTGAAAAATGAGGACTTAGCTTCTGAATCAGACTCACGAAAATCAATGTAATTACAAGCTGGGCACCCAGCAAAGCCTAAACATTTAAAAATAGATTCAAATCTATAATTAGCAATCGCACATGATTTTCTGCACTTTAATTGGGTCACATCTTGATAGAAATCCATGACGAACTTAGTGATTATAACAAAGACTCACCATTTCCTGTCACTTCCGGTCCAGTAGAATATTGTAAATTCTGTCAATTTATTTTAATTAAACTATTTTTAATTTCATTGCTTTTTTTCTTTATTTTTATGATCTTCGAAGCATAGATTTTTAAAGATAGAAGCTTCATTCTAATAAATCACACATTTTATACGTGATTTATGGTTTACAATAAAAATGAGACTTTGCTTTTTGATTTATCCATGAGTTTACCTGAATCCTGTTGTAACAATGTAAGATATCACATAAAATAATTAAAAACTTTTTCTTGTAAGATTCACAATGTTTTCGAAAATTCGAAGAATTTTTAGTTCGTGTTCATCTTTGTCCGACCGCGTCTCCATAGCAACTTCGAATGTAAACAAACATCGGAAAAATTGAAATCCTAAAATTATAAATTAAGATATTTGAAAAAATACAAGTGAAAAATGGATGAAAAAGAATACAAATCACTTATATTTATATCTGGATTGGACAAGTTTTACAATACAATGAATATGATTTGTGTAGATGCAATTGGAAAGTTTGGAAACTCAAATTTTCGGTTTCTCAATGGAATTTCTTTAATATTCTCAAACCGGATTCAAGAAGGAATAAGAGAACTTAATTCATTGACATCTGATAGTGATGTAGGAATTGGAAGTATGTTGTCATTAATATATGGCCACAAGAAATGTTCCGTTGTTGATAAAGAGGCTGTGGGGTCTCTAGAGGCAAGAATCAAAGAAGAAAGGAAACGTCTGACACCTAATTCAGCATATTATGCTTCATTGTTTCTTTTCTTATGTGGAAAATATGAAAAAGCTCGAGATTATGCTGAGAAAACATTAAAGCTTCACAATGACCACACAGATTCAATGATATTGAAGGGATGGTGTGAAATTATGCTGAATCAAAAGACAAAGTCAACTCTTGAGCTTTTCAATAAAGCAGTTTCAACTAATGAAACCATCGACGGTATTCTAGGACAAGTAAGATTCCATCAAAACAATAATGATTTTGAAAAAGCAATTTCAATTCTGAATCGATTGTCAGTTCGATATCCGCATTTAAATGTTCCACTTGTTGAAAAAATGAAAACTTATCTTGCAAGTTGGGATTACGAACAAGCTTATGAGACATCATATCGTATTCTCAACATGGAGCCTTATAATATCGAAGCTTTACGAACAAAAACAATTGTTGTTTTATGTCGTGATGGTAAAATTGATGAAAGTGTTGAATGTTTGCAGACACTTTACAAAGCACTTGAAAAACATGAGCCAAGTAACAGTGAAATTTATTATGAGATTGCTCAACTCTTTTCAAAATGTTGTGGGCGAAATCAAAAAGTTTTGTCGGAAACTTATAAATTTGCTGAAAAATCAAACACTTTGTCACCAACAAACTCAAATTACTTAACTGAACTCGGTTTTCAATCAGTTTTATTAAAGCAGTTGAAAAATGCTGTGAAATTTTTCAGAAATGCAACGAAAATTGATGACAATTCAATGCAAGCTCTTTGTGGACTTACACTTTGTCAATTGCTTGACAATGGACATTCAACACAAGTCAGTCAGCAAATTGAGTTTCTCACTGAAATCCAAGGAACATCAAATAAAAGTCCTTTGCTGCTTTTCTTGACGGCTAAATTATTGCATGATAAACCGAAAGAAGCAATCGCAAGTTTAATTGAAGCTTGTGAAGTTCACTTTAAGAATTTGAAGACTTTATCGTTTGGTGCTGAATATTTAAGAGCGTTTGATCCAGATTTTCTTCTTGAATTATGTAAAGAACTTCTTCAATATTGTCCCATTCAACAAAGCATCACCATGAAGACAAACATTCCACGAGAAACTCTTCATGTTTCTCTTAAAAACAGCATCAACATTTTAGAAACTGTTGTCAAAGCTTTACCAGGATCATGTGAAGCTTTATTCAATTTGGCACGAGTTCAATTTCTCAGTGGTGAAGTTGCAGCATCAGCTTTATCGCTTCAAAAAATATTGCAAGAAATTGATCCAACTTTTACACCAGCACATTTGTTGATTGCACAAATTCACATTCAACAAAATAATCATCAACGAGCATCACAAAGCTTGGAAATATGTTTAAGTCATGATTTTAAAATTCGTGACAATCCATTGTATCATTTAATCTTTGGAATTGTTCTCAAAGCACAACAAAATTTCGAAGAATGTCTGAAGAGTTTTAAAATGGCAATGACAATTTGTGGCTATTACAACGTTACAAATAGTGATGAATACAATGAGAAAAGTTCAAAGACGTCATCTGAAAAGATTGCTTTAGGTTTAGCTGATCTTGTAACGTTGTTTTTGGAAATGATTAATACTTACACTTTAATGAATGAACATTCAGAAGCAGCTAAATTGATGCAATTTGCAATGAAGGAATTTGAAAAGACGCCTGAATCAGGTCGTGTTATTATTGCTAATGCCGATTTTTATCTTTCTCAAGGTAACACAATAAGATCTTTAGAACTTCTCTCAAGTATTCATCCTGGACAAAGTTATTACCTTCAAGCTAAAACAAAAATGGCGAATATTTACCTTGTGAATAAGAAAGATCGTTTATCATTTGCGCAATGTTTTCGAGAACTGGTTCATAATAATCCTGGACCTGATAGCTACATTATGCTTGGTGATGCTTACATGTCAATTCAAGAACCTGATGAAGCTGTTGAAGCATATAAACAAGCAGTTTTACAAGATCCAATGGATCCATCACTTGCAAGTAAACTGGGACGTGCTTACGTCAAGACACATCAATATAAAAAAGCGATAGAATATTATAAAGATGTGATAACAGTTCCAGATAACTATCAACTTAAATTGGATCTTGCTGAACTTTATTTAAAACTCAAACAGTATTCAAATGCTGAGAAAATTATTCTCGATGATATTGAGAAAAATCAACGACATGATGACGATTTATCAAAGCTTCAGACAAAAACAAAACTTTTGCTTTTACTTTCGCGCGTTCGTGAAAAAAGTGGAAATATTAATGCATCACTTTCATCTTTGAAAGAAGCTCGTGATAATCAATATCGAATACAGCAAAGGATAAGCATTGATCAGAATGCGAATGTTCATGAACAGCACAAAATATTGTCAAAGATTTGTGCATTGATGGCTGAACAATCGATAATGATACGTGACAATGTTCAAGCAATCCAACATTATAAAGAAGCAATCAAATTCTCACCACATGAAACAACACAACAAGCATCACTTGCAAAACTTTACATGCAATTAAATCGAATGCAAGAATGTCAAAATATTTGTGCAATGATTTTGGAAAACGATCCAAATGATGAGAATGCTCAAATTATGATGGCTGATTTATCGTTTCGAAGAATGGACTTTGAAAGTGCTGCTTACCATTTCTCTCAATTAGTTCTGAGTAAACCAACTTATTGGACAGCATTGGCACGTTTGATTGAAGTTATGCGACGATCAGGAAGCTTGAACGAATCTCTCACATTTATAGAACAAGCAGAAGAGAAAGCAACAAGTGGTAATGAAGCAGGTTTGAGTTTCTGCAAAGGACTCTTTGATTGGTATACTTGCAATCCTAATGGTGCCCTTCGACACTTCAACAATTCACGACGTGATGTTGAATGGGGAAAGCAAAGTGTTTTCAATATGATTGAGATTTGCTTGAATCCCGACGCTGATTTGCCAAGTGAAGGCGAACTCAGTGATGTTCCTGAAGATGTAGACATTAATAATTCAAGATCAATTGCACTAAAAACAGCAGAAAGGCTTCTTAAAGAGTTGAAACCAAAAACAAATGTCCTTGACAATGAAGCATTGAATCATAAACTGTTGGAAAATTTCCTCCTTTTGGCCACTCGCCAAAAAGTAAATGTTGAAAAAGCTCTTAACAATTTTACAGCTATCGTAAGTCAAGATGAGTTCAAAGAGAATGTCGGTGCAATTTATGGCATTGCTGGAGCGCACGTTATGTTGAAACAAGGACAACGAGCCAAAAATCAGTTGAAGAGAATCAATAAAAGCATTTGGACATTTGAAGAAGCTGAGTATCTGGAAAGGAGTTGGCTCTTGTTAGCTGACATTTACATTCAAGCAAGCAAGTATGATATTGCAACAGATTTATTGCAGAAAGTCTTGAAACATAATAAATCGTGCTATAAAGCTTACGAGCTTTGTGGTCAAATTTCTGAGAAAGAACAAAACTACAAATCGGCTGCAATTCATTATGAAAATGCATGGAAATTCTCGGGAAAACAAAAACCGAATATTGCTCATAAATTAGCTTATAATAGCATGAAATCAAAACGATTTGCTGATGCTATTGATGTTTGCCAGCAAGCTCTTAAAATTTATCCTGATTATCCAAGTGTGAAAGAAATTCTTGAGAAAAGTCGAAATAATTTGAAAATGTAACGAGATTTTAATTAAAGTAATAATGTTGAGAATAATAAGAAATCCGTCCTATAATTATCTTGAAAAGAAAATTGAAAAATAAATTCTTTTAATTGCATAAATTTTCATGCTTCTGTTTTTTATATAAAAATAATGTTTAATCCGGATTAAATTTGAGATTATTTCAGAGTTAAGATTAGGATTATGTTCTTGTTGGATTAAGAGCTTTAAAAGCTTTTCAACTTCCCAAGATAAACGAATTAAAAGAAACAACTTTTACAAGACACAACTCCCTGTAAAAATATTCAAATAAAAAGACATTTTCATTTATTTTTTAAATAATGTTCATTTTTTTCTTCATTCGTGATTTTAGTACATGGTTTTCATCTTTTTATTTACTGAAATTAATTTTCTACTCTAAAGTTTCATGTTTGTTGTTTATCATAATTAATTTTTTAATTCATAATATATTTGCATATAATTCATTCATTATAAATGTAATTAATGTTTTTCACGGGATAAACTGCCATGGGCTAGTGAAACATAAAGAAAAGAAGAAAAAATCTTTCTTGTTAAGTTTTAATTAACCATTTTTACTTAGGTAGGTAATTGTTATACAGCACTCACATTCAAACACACACACAGAGTAATGTGTGGCAATAAGCGAAAAAAACTTCCGCGATATTTCCTTGAAAAATGATTATGCTGCACAGGAAATCATTAATAAAACTCTTTCTTTTATGTAAAGAAGTCTGATTGCAGAAAAAAGTTTTGTTAAATAGCAAAAGCTAGCGAGCTTGCATAAGGAAATCGCGCAAACGAAAATTTCAATATTTTTGTAATCTTTTTGTGAACCTGAGTTTTCTTTTCATTCATTCCTTTTATTGTAAAGTTTTTCATTCGATAAAAAAAGAATGAGAAAGAAAAAAATTAAAACGAAAATGAAAAGAAGCATTAATCGTGCAAAATATTTGATAAGACTTTTATTGCTTTTCAGAGAGTAAAATATTATTTGAAATTATGAAGCCGAAGTCAGGCACAGCCTTTAGCTTTAATATACTTTTTCATTCTTATGTTGATTATTTACATCAATCGCTGGCCATTCAAATTTTTCTTAAGCATTCTGTTCGACAATGACAACTTAATTTAAAGATGAAAAAAAAAGAAATAAAAATGTTTCCAAAACGTTGTGACAATTTTTTTATAATTAACTAACTCCTAGTTAAATGATTTCCTTTCTATCAACGTCACAAGATTGTTGTTTCTGTGAAACTATAAATTAATTAGCTACACTCTCATTATACATTTACTTACTTAAATACTCAGTAATAAATACATGATATTTGAAGTATTTACAACAAATGCGTTTTATTTTATTAATGACAAAATATGTGACAAAAAAATCGTTTGCTGCGCAAGTTTCTTTCTCTTTCTCTCACTTTCTTTTATAAAGGATAAAGACAATTAAAAATGAATCAGTCAATAGATGGACGAAATCAAATCAAGATTATAATCGGAGGAATTTTCTGTAATTCAACTTAAAAATTAGACTTTTAATATGGGAGAGAAATAATTTTCAATCTTCAAATTGCTAAACACTGAATCACGCACGTCCTACTCACGTTTGCCCAATCAAACTAATCGGATTTTTTCAAAAACTTTTCCATTGAATTTGAACTTTAAATAGATTTTTGATCGATAAATGTTTTCTTTATCATTAATTAATTTCTTCATTCAAATGTTTGATTTAGATTTAAAAATTTATTCCTGACATTTATGTGTGTGCGACATTTAAATCACTAAAAATTTGAGTCAAGGAAATTCATTTTAGTCCTATATGAAAAGATGAAATGATTTCGTTATATTTTTGTCACTAATCTTACAAAGGATGAAGAAACTTTTTCATTTTCTTTCGTTTTGTTCTATTTACGATCATTTAAACTCACGCAAAGGAATTCGAACTTATTATGAACATCATTCGTCAACCAACTGAGACAATTCAGTTACAGGAATTCTTATTTAGGCACACTTTATACATTTTATCCTCGTCTCAATGTCAAAGAAAAATAAAACAAATTAAAAATAAAAATTATAAAAGAAAAAGCTTTTCTGCTTTAAGCATTTTTTTCACTTCTTTTCCTAGAATCTCATAAATAAAAACTGAAAACGTAATAAAAATGCTTTTCCAATGCAATAAAAAGCATTTTTTAGACAGATACTTAAATAAAAGTTCAAATCTTCAAACAAAAAAAAAGTCGTGACTTGACAAACTTACGAAGAGACTTTCTAATTGTTTAATAGTTTAAAACTATCGATCTAGGAGGAAGAGTAATGTAGTGCTTTTCATTATAGGAAGAAAGCACATTTAACTGATTTGTTTTGTTGTTTTATCCGCCTTACATTAGTGCCCTTTAGTTGCCTCTTTAGCTGCTATTATTAATGGTGTTAGACTAGCAAGTGGACGTGCCAGTTTCAAGAAAGGATGCTACGAACGAGAAAATAAAGATAGGAATCATCATTAATTGAAGATATTCAATCTGAAGACATAAATTATAGATAAAGCTTTGTGAAGCATCGGAAATTTATTGCTGTTCAGTTCCATCCGAGTCGAATAGAAATATTGTCGACCTTAAAGAGATAGAATTTTACTCACCTTTAGTAATTCCATAGCACTCGACCGTTGATCAACATCAACTTCAAGACACTGATCGAGAAAGTCTTGAAAAACAGGACTCAACTTATCCTTATCCTTAATTTCCGGTTTACCATGCGTTGCAATTAAATAAAGTGCACGCAATGGATTCTCATTCAGATACGGTGGCTCTCCTTCAATCTATTACGAGAATATAAATTAATTAAATGATTTAAGAGAACTTATTTCCCTTCATTTACCATTTCGATCGCCATTATTCCAAGTGACCATAAATCAACCTTCGGTCCATATTGTTTTCGTGTCACAACTTCTGGCGCCCTAAGAAAGGAAAATATAAAAGTGATGATGAATTTGCAAGGATTTATGATTCATGACATCAACTTACATCCAATATGGTGTTCCAACCATTGTTGTTCTCTTCGATTGTTCAGGTGAAATCTGCGCACAGAACCCGAAATCTGTAAGCTTAACACTTCCATCTAATCCCAAGAGAATATTGTCACTTTTGATGTCTCGATGAATGACTTGATTGCTATGTAGAAAGTCAAGCGCTTGAAGAACCTCACGACAAACAGCAGCAATTTGTCCCTCATCCATGCAAGTTTCAGTTACAACATCGGTGAGAGACCCACCAGGAAGATATTCCATTACCACCCACAACTCTTCCGACACAAGATAGCTGTCAAGATAGTTCACAACATTCGGATGTTTATTCTCTCGCATCACGAGAATCTCATTAATGATCAGCTCTTTCTTAGGCTGTTGACTCAGGTTCATTCGTTTAATCGCAACTTCCATGCCAGTTGAACTTTCAATTGCTGTATAAACTGTTCCCGATGCTCCCTGTCCAATCTTTTCCATCTTTGCATATTTTCTTGTTGGATCACCTACACTAACAATTGTTCGAAGCTTCTCAAGGATCTCTTCATCTGTCATCTTCTTCTTCTTCGCTGAACTACGCGTTTGATTTGTTGGTGGCTCAATATTACCAGTTGGTGATGTTACGGTTGTGTTAATATTTGTCGTCATGTTGTTATTTGTCGTTGTTGTGGTTGTTATTGTTGTTGCTGGTGATGTTAGAATTGTTGTCGAATTTTTATTCTTATCCAACGTTGGACTTTTCAATTGATTTGTGTGATTAATATGGGGATGGGGCAATGGTGACATGGGCGGGTCATCAATTGGACGTGTGTACTGTAATTAATGATTAACAAATAATAAATCAACATTTCTTCGAACATAATTAAACATACAATTGATTTTGTTCGTTCCGGTCGACTGGCAATCGGTGGTGCAATTTCTTCCTCTTGTTCTGAACTACGCGACGATGAATGATTCATATTATGAACACCGTGATTATTTTGCATGGAAATTGATGTTGGAATTGTTGTATGATTATTGACCGTTTGAAGAACAACATGACCAACATGTGATTGTGATTCACTATCAGTTGGTGTACTGCTAGGACTCGAACTGCTAACACGACTCAGCGACGAACCTATTGATGATGCTAAAGTTGTGTGATTTTTTGTCACAATTCATGAAATTTGTTTATTGCATGTGGACATTTATTTATTTATTTAGATACACATGATAATAATGAAAGAAAAAAGGGATTTGGGGAAGTAGGAAAGAGATGATGAGAAGTGACGTGACGTCATAAATGTACAACTTCTTAACATCTCAATTGAAGTCGAAACAAACAAATGTTACGCTTCACTACAAGACAAACTTGAACTAAAGTCTTCTTTTTTATAAAAGTAAGAAAACAATGAGAGGCCACATTTGAAACGAGAATTTCCGTATGAAAAAAATAGTTTGGGGAACAAGTAGAAGCTCAATGAAACTGAAATCTCACCCGAATGTGTTGTGTTATGCATGCCATGCGTCATATATTTCGAACTAGGTCGTTGTTTGGAGCTATTGTCGAACCAATTGAGCACATCCAAGACAGCTTGCGGATTCTTTTTCTGTTCCATTTTGCTGATGTTGCTGTTCATTAATAATACTGCCCATTGTTCCGGCATTCCCTGTGAAATTTAAGATGAAGACATTTAAGACACTTTCAATAGATTTTGATTAATTGCAAATTGAATTGATGGAAAAGTGATTTCATTTCATTTTACTTAAATAATGACTTTTTTTATCATCAAATGAATTGTAGATAAATGTCAATGAAAATTTATGATTGTTGGTGATGGAAAAGAATCTTTCAAAAAATTAAAGCACATTTAAATAGTTTTGATAAAGCCAAACTTTGTTCATGCAAAAATTTTGATGTCTTAAATTCTTAAAAGATAAAACCAAACGTAATTTCACGAGTCACATATGAAAATTTGCTTAATTCATAATTTTTTTAATAGCGATGGCACGTTTTTTTATTGTCACTATTAAAGGATTCAACTCATTAAACAAACTTACTGAACACGTTTCGTTCAAAAACAAATAAGAAATAAAAAAAATCGCGCGCTTTCTATCGACATTGCAAAATAAAAATAACTGAAGATGAAGGTAGAAACTGAAATAAAAAAAACTTGAGACTATCAAGAGAGTAGACAAGAGAAGAGTAAGAAGAAGAAGGCAAAGATTTGGAGTGGAAGAATTATTTATGAAAAGCATTTCTGTATAGATGAATTTTTATTGAATTTTTTTGAAACGGGGTGAAGATTTTTCCACATAAAAGCAACAGCGAAAAATACTTACTTTCAATGGCAGCTTGTAAGAGTACAAGAGACAAAATGGTTTTTAAATAAAAACGACAGCAGACAAAAGCCCAAAAAAAATAAATTTATGTAGATCTAAAAAAGCACAATGTGCGAATTGAAAAGCGATATCGCAATATGAGAAATGATTTAGAAGACAAATAATAAAATTGATGTTGATGAAATTTATTGGTTTTGGGTAGGCAAGGAATGAACAAAAAGATATAAAAAAGAAAGAAAAATGAATTAAATGTTAACAAACAATAATCGGAGGCTAAAGTAACAACGTGATAATGCGAAGTATAAGATGCTGGGTTTACTCTTCTTTAACCGCGCTTGTTCACAATTTATGTCGTGATTTTATTTCTTCCGACATCAACTCTGAACTTCTCCACGCTTGCTAAACATTAAGGTAAACGATGAAGCTCAGAAAATATGAAAATGTGTTGTTATTCATACGTGAAACTAAACACGACAACGCAACTGTCACTTGACTTGCAACAGTCTGTCGAGACAATGAGAGATAACAAGTATTAATGCTTTTCTCATCTCACAGCTCTTACAACTCTAGTGAAATAATGTCATGTTGAGCACATCGATTATTGTCTACTTTTGGCAGCTTACTTTTGATGAAATGGGGAAATCGTAACAAAGTAGAGAAATAATAATTAATAACCAAGCGGAAGTTAAAATGAAAGCTTAAAAACAAAATCCTACTTAAGCCAATTCTTGTCAGAAAGCTAAAAGTTAATAAGTAACCAGGATTGGATACAAAAAATTTCAAAGTGAAAAATGAATTGCATGAAAAGAAGCAAAATTTATATCTTGAAAAATCTTTTCTCATTTAAATTGTTTCTGAAAAATTGAAACATTTTCTGCTTCTACTTTCAACATTTTTTGTACCCAATCGGAAATAAATATTCGTTGTTTTGATATACAAGTTACTTTTTTTGCTATTTAAACAAACTCAATCATCGTGACTTTTAAAGATTTCGTGACAATTCTTTTAAATTTTAAACTCCTTGAAATATTAGCTGAACAATGATCATCGTGTTTGTTGATGTAATCAATCTTTCCTTTGTCAGGAAATCTCTAAATATTCATTCGCGATTCTATTCAATGCGAGTGTCAAAATGATAGAATTGAAAGCTTACCGTAAATTCTCCCGTTACTGCGTCAAATCCCACATGCACCGTGTGTTCGAAATTCGTCGGATATGAAATGTTTGGTTTGGAGTCATTGTGTGATTGTTTTGATTTGATTTTATTCTTCAATGTTTTCTTCTTACGATCGGGGTCATCGGGTTCTGAAGGTTGAATGAAACAAAAATTAAGAGAATTTAAATAAATAAATAAAAAAGTTATTCACCTTTCGGTAAAGGCTTTAAATCAGGTGGACCATCAAGTCTATCACTGCCACCTCGATTACTTGTCAGCCGCACTGGTGGTGCTGGCGGTTTGTCTTCTTCACTCGACATTGTGCTTCCGTGTATCAATTTTGTCAATTATTATGTCTGCTCTCCGCCCACAAATTCGCAATATTTGATTTATGTATACACAGTGAATTTGTCTTCTTTCACTCTTGTATGTCTAATTGAACAAACTTTTTTTTTTATTTATTATTATGACTCTTTCTTCTTTTGTTTACTTTCCAACGAATGATGTTTGCTCTTTTTCGCTTTCCTCGTTTGTCACTCACAACGAAGAGAAATATAGAAATATTTCTATTTTATATTTTAATACGGAATATGATACAGCACTCGCCCAGGTATGATATTCTAAATTAAGAATATGATTTGTTCATAAAAATGTACAAGTTATTATATCTTCGACGGTTTTTCTTTTATTATTTTTGCTTCGTGTGCTTCCTTCCCGCTTGTGTGTTTTCTCCAATCGACATGAGACACTTGTGTTTAGCAAAATATCTCTGATTTGTTGTATTCTTTAACCCAAGGGTTTCTTGTTGTGGTGTTTTTGTTTGTCAAACATATAAAACCGAACAGGAAAATTCACCTAAAAATAGATTAAAGATAGAAGAGAAACGTGTGAATTTAAGTGAATGAAGCTCTTGATTTTCCACAAACAGCGACATTTTTCTTATGAAAGAAGTTGAAAGATTGGAAAGATTGTCAGCTTGATTTTTGTTTAATTTATCGAAGTATTAATTGAGTCTTTTCAACCCATACAAATCTTCCCTCCTACTCAACACCACATACTCAATTATCGTACTTTAATTGACCAAGCATGCCAAAAGAGAGAGAAACATCATCGTCAGTCACTCTGCATGAATAATTTCATGTCTTAATTTTAACGACTACAATTTTGCATGCAGTGCAAACTTCTTTCACTTTGTCTGCATTTCTTTGATGCACAATGAGGTGTAGAAAAAAAAAGATTAAAAGAAGAGAAGATGAATACAGAATGGAATTGAATTAACAACGAATTTATGCAGCACAATGATTTGCTTTGAGTTGAAAGAAGTTGAGAATATCTTCTCGAATTCAGCTTCTTAAAAATGATATCAAACATCTTCGTGCTAAAATCTAAAGGAAATATAAGATCAACACATTATTCGAATCGAGTTCTCGGTATACAAACTCACAAGTGCAAATTAATTCCTTAAACACGAGAACAGTCAAGAAATCAGCATGAAGTATCAAAACGTAAAGCAATGAGATTTCTTCACTTATTTCAATTTAATTAAATTATAATTTGGAACGTTCGTTTCTTTCAGCGTGTTTCCAAAAGCTCTTTAAGGTTTAATCAAAAATTATTTCTTCATTTTATGGCTTGAAATAATTTGATTAATTTACAACAGAACTTGAAGGAGTATCATCACATATTTACTCTGATTATAGGAATGAAATATCGTGAATAACCGCGATAAAAAAAAGAGCTTTGACGACATGGCAATGACATGAAAGACAATTAAGTAATTTTCTTCATCGTACCATAATGGTCAGCAAAGCTTTCTTCCGGTGAATACGGTAAAGCTTCCTTTTATAGCTCGACGACCGTAAAGCACAAGAGAATTGTGTGGAAGTGATCAAATTAGCATTTTTGGTAGTTTATGTCGACACTTGAATCGATAAAACGTGAATTCGCAAGTCGCTTCGCAAAAAAATGGAATAAACTTGTAACCGACCGTATAATGAATAATCACCATTGAGAATTACAATGCGATGCCACGCTTTGCAAACTCAAATGACCGATTCATAAGTATTTATTGTATCTAAAATTATTAAAAGGAAATTTTCATAAAGAAAGAAGTGAAAGAGATTTTACTGGCCTTTGGTGACTTATAACAATTTTGTTCGATTTTTTGTAACGAACAATCGATACAAAGACAGTTCTGAAGTGTGGGCATTGCGAAAGTGAAAACAACGAATTAATGAGGCAATCTTTTTGGGACGTTAAAATTGACTTTGAAAGAGAGAAGATTACATCGAATTATTTATATTTATGAGATTATCTTCAGTGAAAAAGATTGGAAAACATTTGACATGAGTCGAAGAATAGATCAAAAGTTCATTGGCTTTGAAATAAATATTTCTACTTAATATTATGAGTAAGTTGGAAATTTATTTATTTAGAAACGTCAAGCATAAAGCACGAAGCAGAAGTATGAAAGTAATTTTAGTTGTCAGAATAAATTTTCATTCCAAAGAATCCTAAATTGTCAGGTATTAAATATTTAGATATCTATTCAAGTTTCTATGACAATAAATATTTTGTTTACCTAGAAGTTTTCTTTTATCGTTCAAAACCACATTCAACAAATTCTCAGATAATCTCAAAAAGAGACACAACAACTTTTCATTATCTACTCGACAGATTTTACTTGATATGAAATTAGAAAGTTTTCTTTTCATAAAGAAAAGGAAAAACTAGAATTTCTATGTTGAATTTCAATTTATTTTATTCAACATTTGTTACTGAAATTCTTTGCTTTTTAACTTTTCTTTTCCTTATGCAAATCAGTTTCGTTTTGTGTCTACAACAAATATCTAATCATTTCATTTGCATTTTTAAGCTTTACTTCTTTCCTTGTTCATTTTTTGTGTGTTGCAGCAATCAACCGTTGAGTCATTTACATTAAATCTACACAAAAGTTTCTCGATTCTATGTAGGCGAAGATTGGCAACAGCCATGAGATTGTTTATTAAGTCCTTCAAGACGTTGAAAGGTTTGTTTCCATTGCCAAAAGGGAATTTCGCCTTGGAACTTTCTCATATGTTTGGCTAAATATGCCGGAAAAGAAGAAAACAAAACTTACAAATTCCAATATGTTGTGTTCTTAGCGCCGGCGATTGGCGAAATATTGTTCCATTGGGAAAAGAAACTTTTCAGATCGGACCGAAGCAAGCTACACATGTTCACAGAATAAATTATTTACGGACCATAATCTAATCTCATTCATCTAATCCAATCAAAACAATCTCAACTTTGTTTATGTTGAAGCCAATCAAATTCATCTCAACTAACAGCTGGAGTAAATTCTTTTTAGAAGTGGACAAGCTGTAAAGCTTTTCTCATTAAATAATCGACACATACGAGTTGTAACTTCAACTTCAGCTTCAACATAACGAAAATAAAATTCTACTTTTCCTTACTCGTTACAAGCAAATTGGAAAAGTTTACGATGGATGGAGAAAAAGCCGTGAGATTGCATTTCTCAAAGCAAAAGTTGCAGTTTTTGATGTGAAACTTTTCAATTACTTTCCTGCAAAATCACCGAGCATGTAACTTCAGTTCAGATAGTTTTTGTTGGGTTAAACATGGGTTGAAAGCATGAAAATTGGAAAAACCAAAGCAACAACAAGAAAAATCGACCAATAAAAAATCTTGTTAAATAGATTTTCACCCAGGTGATGTTTTTTCATCGAAACTTGAGTAGAATTTTCAAACAGATCTCAAAAGAACTCTCTTAAAAGTCTATTAAACTTATTTGCTTTTTCTAAATCGTTGAAGCGATAACACATTTGATTTTGAAATGAACATTTGCTTCATATTCTTCAGAAGTTTCTTTTTCTTGTGTGTTTCTCATGAATAGTTTTTATGTTATGACTACTAACTGTCGATAGATTTGTTTTCGCTTGTTCTCTTTCTCGTTTTGATTGGAAATGTATCGTGTGTTTAGTTGAAAACATAGATGATGATGTGAGATACTTATTCGATTAACAAAAAGAAAAAAGAGCCGACAATTGATTCGATGTGAGATCGAATGTAACGACATTTGAATGTGAATTGAATTTTTAAGCGATTAAAGTGAAGCAATAAGACTTACAGTTGAACTGAATTGAATTTTTCTTTACCTAGCTGACGAGATAATTAAAGATTAATGATAAAAGAACATCACGTTTGTCAAGAAATTATTCACTATCTTTGATGTTACGGAAGTCGTAACTTACCCATTTTTAGCACCTCACAACATGAGTTCATGAAGCATTTTCAATTAAGCAAAAAGCATCATGTCGAGCTCATAAAAAAACAAAATTATTAACTGTTTAACACGCTTAGATTTTTCAACAACACACATACACACACAAAAGAAAAGAAAACATCGATTTAAAGCCCGAAATAAGATGAAGAAGTTTAAAGAGCATCATTTTGTTCTTTCTTCAACGATTTAATTTATTCCATAACAAGAGGAAGGAGCCGTGACATGAGACACATTTTTTCTCTGTATACGCTTTGACAATATGACATTCTTCTTCTTACAAGGTTTATAATGAAAAAGAAAGGAGGCACGAGGAACTTAAACTGAATGTTATGACATTTTGCCATTGCCTTGGACCAGCTTAAGGTCTTTTGTGTTCTTGTTAAGGCAGAGACAATGTCAAATGACTTTTAAATAAAAAGTGATTGTGCTGGTCATTGATTTTTTTCTTCTCCTTAGTTAGGAAGAAATGAAAAGCGTTAAGGGAAAAATGTTGACCGTGACGTAAGATGGACTGCGCCCGGTTATGTAAAACGTCTGGGTGTGAGACTCTCACACTGCGAATAAAAACTTTTTTATGGGCTTCTAATGATTGTTTTTGTTACACTTCCATCGTCACTTTTATGCACTTAAGCATCTACGATTCATTCGTAATTATTTATATTTATCTTCTTGTACACAAACTTGGTGCACCGACAGCACTTTCCATGATGATGCTCCTAATATTCTATTTCTGTCTTTTTAAGACATTTCTCATTTTCTTCTTGTTTACGCTTATGTCTGTTCATCTTCGAAATGGAAAATCTCCGACTTTGTTTTGTGCGGCTCGAAGATGAAACGCCGCGTTTGTTATGGATTTCTCTTTTCTCCCGTTTCTAATTTTGTCAACGAGAAAAAAAAACTTTTTTTGTGTTTTCATTCCTACATTCTTAGCATCAACTCCCCCTCCGTTAGCTGCGATGTTAGTAGCGAGATCATGGAAATTTTTTCGCTTTTATTTTTCATTCAAATTCTTTCACGACTTTTTGAAGGTTTGAAATATGTTAAAAATTGAAGGGAGTAACGGATGGTTAAAATATGATAAGAACGAGTCAAAATTTAAGCCAATGTTATTAACAGTTACGTCCGCTAGGATTAACGCTTTCATTTCTCATTTCTCATGCTTTCCATCAAATTTCATTCACTAACATTAGAGGAATAAAAAGAGAGAGAAAAACTTCAATTCATTTTGTTTACGACCGCGAGCAGATCGTAAAAAAAGTAATTAAAGAATCATTTTTTTTCCCTTCTTGCTCGCTACTTTAAATCACTCACTCACGAAACGTTTGTTTTTCATCCGCGTTAGATTTTCTTTTCTTTTTACAAACATTTGTGGTCGAGTGACCGGTATTTATCGTCAATATTCATTCGAAATCAATTAAGATCAGCAATTTCTACTGTCGATAGTCGCATTAATGAATGGTCAATGGGTTAATAAATCACAAACGCGACGTTACGGATGAGAAACTAATGATGAAGATTTATGAAGAATGTATGCAGACGTATTGAAATAGAAACTTTCATGATATTTTACATGAAACGGCTTCAAGGTGTACATGAAAGTAACGTGGGTGCTATAAACTGCTTTGAAATTGGACAGAAAAAATCTCGCAGTTTCAGATTTCTTTAACTTTCATGTTGAAACACGAAGTGATATGAATAGCGTTTAACTTCAAAAATAATTTGCATAATCATTGATACGATAACATCATGAAGCGTTCAGTTATCTTCTTGATATTAGTGAAATTTTTATTCATTCAAAAGAACATGCTTATTCCATCATTTATAATACATCATATCAAAGTCATGACACCCACAAGAATATTATGAAAATCAACACACGTAATGGATATCGTATAGTGAGATTCGAAATATCTTGCCTGAGGTAAATGCGAAAAGCTTTTTCAAGTCTCCACGGATTAAATAATAAGAATTCTCAAATAATCGCTAAGCAGACTATAAGGAAAGTTTTAATATTTTCCTTTCTATCCTCTTACTTGAGAGGTAAAATGAAACGTTTTGAATGCGTCTGGAAAAGTAAATGTCAATGCATGAATGTGTCAAATCATTTGAAAACTTCCGCTTCTTAACACTCGTAAAAAAAGTAAGTAAATTTTTGATGAATCACAGAATAACATTTCTTCGACAACTTTTCATTTCAAAACAGAATTTCTTTCTCGATTCATGACAAATTCTGTCTGTCGATTGTCGTACGACTTGCAAAACACCAGAAGTTCTGGCGAAATCTCAAATATTAGTAAAAATTTCATGCCAACTCTTTTTTATTTTCATTTCTCGTCTCTTGTATTAAACAATTTGTTTAATTGAATTTCATCTCATCTCACTTTGACTGTTTATAAAAAAAATTATAGAGAATTTTCTCTTCGTGGTGTAAAATCTTTTTCAGGCCATTTAGATTGGATTAAATTAGAAAAAAGTCAGCATGTGAATGGGAGACAGTTGTTGATTTTTATCGCGACAGTCGTAGCAGGAAAACGCTATCCCCATTCACAAAAAACAAACAATATTGTTTGAGGGGAGGCGCCACTGAACTCAATTCAAGATCTCGTCTATGACGTGCACAACTAAATCGTCAGTTGTGAAAGAAGATTTTCTTTCGAGACTAATTAAATGAGCAAATAAATCTAATATTTCGACGGCTTTTTAAAGGGAATTAGTTTTTTTCTTTTTCTATTTAAAAACAAGATTTTTTAAAATAAAATTTCTTCAGGTGCTAAATTACGAATATTTCGCCACAAAATGAAGTAAGAAAACTTTTGATTTTCGACAATCTTTTACCGTACATTTATTGTGCGATAAAGTCAAAAATTTTGAGTGTAAATTAAACAAGCAAACTGATAACAAAATTCAATTTTGTATGAAAAAAGAAAAAGATTTGCGAGCGATGACGAATGAATCGTCAATTCACATGCATTAGTCAGCAAGCGAGAATGATTAAATTCCTTTGGAGCTAGTTCAGAGTAAAGTTTCTCAGGTAGTTTATGCGAGAAGTTTGAAATGTTTCCCAATAGATGAGTCATGAAGTCACACAAGCGCTACTGAAACTTTTAAGAATTCTTCTTCTCATTTTGATTCACATCAATTGAACGAGCTTCGTTTCAATTTCACATTTATAAGCTAAATGAAATTAACACTTTTAAGATATGTGTGACCGTTTGACATCGAAGCGACTTCTAATTCAGAATCAATCGATTTAAGATGAAAAAAGATATTGTGGAATTTTTTTTACTTATTTATATGGAGATGGCTAGATTAAGATTTGAGCTAAAAATTAGCTCAGATATAACATTCATTGAATTTAAAAAATCTCACAGAATATTTACAAACCCTATTAAAGTCTTTTTTATCCGTTTTCATTCAACTTTAGGTTCTTGTGGTTAACCAAATCTTTCCATAGCAATCTTTTTTATTTTGCAACAAACCAAAAAACGGCGAGATGCTCTACATTCTAAATCGTGTAATTATCACGATGGCATCTTTCAATAGAAAGAAGCGACAGTTGTAGAGAATGAGAAAAAGAGGAAGAAAGTCTAAAGTGAACAAATAAAAACGCCAGTTTTGACAGCGAATATTAGTCATCATACATTACACACGACAATGTGTACCACGATGTGAGACCATTATTTCGGAAAAAAATGATGAGGAAATTTTCTTTCTTTTTTTCAATTCCTTTCTTTTTTCCACCATAACAAACATACACACATTAATGCAATGGTTTTTTCCTTTTTTCTTTTCTTCTCCTTTTTTATAAAATAATATATAGAACACTCTTTTGATTACGAAATTTCATTATGTTACTGTGGTGATTTATATTAAGAAGCATAATTTATATACGATGCTGCGAAATCTCTTTTTAAAGAGATATATTGTAAAACACTTTACACTGCTAATAATCCCAATAAGGACATTAAATAGCGATAAAATATAAAATAAAATAGCGAATGGTGGAATAATTCAGAATAATATTTTAATTTATTTTCCAATCCCTGGAAGTATTTTGCTAATAATACCAATTTAGAGTTTTTATATTCTTTCCAAAATCACCAGTGTACTTATTAAAGTGCTTTGAATCATTTCATCACAGTTCAAAGACTTCTATTTTTTTCATAATTATATTTCCAACTTCTATTGAGAATATTTTTTCTTCAATTTTTCAACTTCTTCACTTTTTTTTCACAATTTACCTCTCGAATTCTGGACTTTATCTTTTATGTAAAACAAATTGATTAATCAAAAGCGGACACTTTAACTAATTAAGAAGACCACAAACACGTATTTTTTCGGTATAATTAACTCATTTTACAATTTTTCTCTTTTCTTGCTGTTTTCAATTTCACGAAGCAAGATTAACGTCCAGAGGTCGCTCATGTAGACTTAATAAAATGTTGAAGTTTTTATACCCCTTGTAATTTCTCACCACAATTTCAAATTTTTTTAAAACGGTTTTTTTCTCACCACTCATCACAAGCTCATTGTCTTAGCAATCTAATTATTTATGGTTTCGCATGGGTATTGTTTTAATGTATTCATAATTGAAATTGAACATTAAATCGCCCTCAAAAACAACAAAGGTATTTAAAACTCAACGAATTTTAAACTCATTAAAATTGAATTTTTTTGAGTTTTTAAATCACAAGATCAATAGAATTGATCCAAAAGTTTAGTTTAGTTCTTCTTTATTTAGAATTCGAATACAGACAAAAATGCAAAGCCTTGAATTATTTTAGAAATAATTTTATAGTGGGTAATTGAGAGAGAATGAAAAAGTTATAATTAAAATGTTGACAGTTTCTTCAAAACCCCCGAAAAGTCGTCCAAGGAAGCCCAATGATCTCCAGCTTTGTATATTCCATTGTATACGATAGTTGGAACAAAGTTTGACTTGGAAATAATAGGCGATGAGAATCTCTCCGCTTGTATCTGCAAATTCGTTCCATATTGACTCTTCGTGCAATCATCAATTTTATTCATGTCTAATCCCATGTTTTGTGCGCAATTGCGAGCATTCTTTTGAAAGTCCATGGCACAGATAACGAAACTTGTTTGCTTATCCTGATTGGGTCCAATAACATCGAGAACACATGATTGGAATTTATTTCCTTCGCATTCTTTTGGCCCTAAAGGCAGAGTGCAATGATAGAAATGTTATAAAAATAGCAACAAGAGTCGATAAAAATCTTATCACGAACCATGTTGACAGCTGAATTCCGTTTCACCATCACTTCGTGAAAGACTCTGTCCAGTCAAAACAACAAAGAAAGAAGGAAAGAAAAAATAAATCAATTGAAACTAAATGACCGAAAATAATTCGATTAAGTCACTTACATTTGATTTACCAAACGGAACAAAATTGATTACAACGTTGTCCTTGATACTTGGATAAACTCGTCTTAACTGATACAACATAAAATTACTTGAATCTGGACATCGACTTTCATAGTGAATATCAACCTGAAGCTAACGGTATAAAAATTAACGAATAATAATTAAAATGAAAAAATCAGGAAACAAATAATTTGCGTTAATTTCGTACAAATTTAGTCTTACTTTGCCTTCTACGAAAAACAAACTTAATGCTGATACCACGAAAATTACACAAAAATTTACTTTATTCCAACTCATCACGTGTGTTTACAACTTGAGTAACGAAAAACAACTGAAACAATTTTCAGATTCTCACGATCTCTTCGTAAAATAATTTTTTTCCGTCTTACTTGAAATGAATGAATTCAGAAGTTTCAAAATATCTTTAAGCAATGATGAGCGCAAGAAGAAAGATGAAAAACAGGTAACTTAGGTTCTGATTGTGGTAGATATTTAAATATAAATGTGAGATAAACCGGCATGAATCAGCGAATAATTCTAGAGAGACGACATTTAAATTTTAATAGTCTTAAAGTTTCAGAGTATTGACTTCAAATATTGAGTAAAATTTCAAAATAATCTTTATTTATAATATTAATTAATAACTTTATTATTTAACTGTTACTTTTGAACGCGTAGAAATAGATAAAACTGAAAGATATCACGGAAAAACATTGAAAATCATTTTTGATAACATGTTTCAACTTAAACATTATTTTATTTCAGTAAATAAAAAACGTGATAATGTCTCGAACAGCGGGAAAGTAGGTACGTTAGTATCAAGAATGATATTAAAATTTAATATCTTTTGACTTTGCATGCTGGATTTGTATTATAGATTAAATCGCAGAGAAGTTCTTTAAGTGGAGGTGCACGTCCGCCAATTGAATTCTCATCTATCCGTCCATTATATGCAATTGTTGGAACCCAATTAGTCTGTTGAAGAACGGGTGTAGTTATTTGTTCATAGCCCAGCTGTTGCCTAGTTGCAAATTCACTTTGTGTGCATTGCACTATTTCATTCCAATCAAAACCAAATTGTTCTACACATGTTTGATGCGTTCTATCTGCACCGATAACCATTTGGCATGATAAATAAGCAAATTGCTGAAATAAATTAAATTCAATAACATTGAAACTTACTTTTGTGTGCATTCATATGAAAATATGTAATTGATATGTTTACCGTATCTTGATCAAGTATGCGAGAAAGCATACAACCTTGAACTTTATTACCGAAACACTCGTCAGGTCCATGTTGGCACTCGAATTCAATTTCTGACTCTGCTGTTTCGTAACTCTGAAACATAAATAGGTAATGAAGAAAGTTTTTTAAGTTTAACATTCACGAGATATGCAAATATGGACAAGAAGACACTCACGTTTGACTTTCCGAACGGTATGAAAGTAATGTCCATGTGCTGTTTGAAATTATTGTACAACGGTGTCAACTCGTCACTAAAGAAACGCATGGAGTCGGGACAAAGTGATTCATAGTAAATATCCATTTTAACCTGAATAGAAAAATGTAGTTTATTTAAACATTTTTAAAATTTCTGTGTGTCAGTTTATATTTGCAATTATTTACTTTTGCTACACATGCCAAGTTAACTGACACAAGTGCTAATATTATCCAAAGTTTCATGGTTGAATTAAATTTTTGCTTTAAATCGAAATGTTAACAAATATAAATTGAATCTTATGATCTGCACTGCAAAGACTTTCAAGAACAACTGAATCTGAAGTAAGACGGCGTTTATGTGGCCAAGTTTTTCCAATCACTTAAAAATCATTCACTATGAAACAATTCATCAATGAAAATCGTAAATAATCAACACAGTATGTGTAACCAACAGATAAATGTAAGAGAATTTTCGTAAGTGAACTTTTTACTCTGCAGGCAGTTCACGAGTTCGCTATAAAAGCAGAGTTGGATTTTGTGTAAATTATGATTGCGAATTTTAACATCAATGAAAAATAAACATTGCCAACCTATGTAGCTACTGGTGCGAAATAAAGGCCGTGACGGAGTAAAAGTAAAAATTGTTAATAAAATTAATTTTCTTTTCTCGATAAAAACAAGAGTTTATACATGTATGAAATATAATTACATCATGACATTCTGTTGATAATATCAAAGGTAAATCATTGAAGTCACTCTGATGAAGAATTTTCCTTTATCGATTTCTTTGAATTAATTTCGTCTTCCAGTTTTTTTCAAGTGGACGTGATCGTTCAAAAAAAAGCCACCGACGGAAAAGATTGATTAAAAGTTGACGCAATATTGAATCAATCTAACAAAGGTTGTTATAAAACTTATCAAAAATATTTAAGTGCATAAAAAAACCACCATAAGTGCTGTCTGCGTATTGTCTGACATGACATGAACTTTTTCTTATCAATATTTTTTATAGCGGAGTTAAACATTTAAAAATATGTGTTAAAAAAAGTTAGGTAAAAATTCAACAAGTGTAATTATTCCTATTTAAAGATAAACTGATTCAGTTGTATTAGAGTTTGAAAACGTGCGACTTCAGTGCACATTCAACTTACATTTAAAATGATTTGAATATCTTTTTGTTCATAAGCATGCGATTTCTGTTGGAGACATGTGACATAACTCGTAGCTTTTTTTCTTAATCGTAAAGCAAGTAACTTTCTTTCGATAATTGCTTTGTGTTTTCTCAGTACATAAGCATCTTCCAATTTATTTCTCTGTCAAATATTTTTGAATAAAAGTGCTGTGGGATTTCATTTAGCTTTTGTTTACAACGCATTAGAAATTTTAATGTTGATTTAATGGATGTTTATGAAATTTTAATTGTTTTGTCACATAATAGAGTATCATGATGTAAGTTCTGTAAGAAAATCATTTGATTCAAGTTTTGCTCGCAGATATGTTTATAATGTGAAATTCATAGCTCCCACATTTTCTTGCTTTTTATTGAATATTTCTTATCTTTACATATCACGTAGATACTTATACAGGTAATTCATGAAACAGTTTTCATTATTAATTTGTGCTGTTAGTCTTTCAGAACAAATTTGTTAATTAGTTTTCTTTGATGAATTTATGGTATTAATTTGAAGCCTTGCTGCCATCATTTTTATTGTCATCAGCACAATTTATAACAGCTTCATTCAATCCAAGAAATATTTTTTCTATATGATTCTTTGCTTCATAAGCATCGCGCACTTTTTCTGGTTGATTTAAGAATTTATCAGGTATTTTTAAATTGAGTTTATGGAATTGACTACTTAAAAAATAAAATAAATTTAAATATTCAGAATTAGATAGGTATTTGAATTCTCCCACCTGTTTAGAACTTTGAAAGATTTTTGTTTGAGTTCAATACTGCAATGATAGCGATGACACAGTTGAAAGACGTCATACGCATTCATATCATCAATATTATTCATTATATGAAATTCACAAGTTTTTTGTAAATCTGTAAGCTGATATCGATGTGCAATTGCAAGAAGTTCGTCCACGTAATCTAAATTTTGAATTTTACAAGTATAAAGGAAACGAAGCATTTCACCAAAAGCTTCAACGCTGACATCGGAAACTTTTTGAGATTGTGATGAATTTTCTAAAAAGCTTCCTGTAAACATTTTTTTAAAAACGGGGCTACGACTAGAAAGAATGGCTTTATGGACTGGAAATGTTGCATCTCCCACTATAAATGTGAAGTCTGAAGTTTCTTGATCTAAGTAAAGCTCCTCCAGGGCTGACAAAGTTCGAGCCTTATTTCCAGAAATAAGATCTTCTTCAAACTCGTAACAGTAACTCAATCTTTTTTCAAAGACAGTGATCTATGATAAATAAAAATTTAGAGAAGCTGTACCATTCATTTTGAGATTAAGCTACCGTAGCAGTTATGATCATTTCAGAGGTGTTGGGCATATCAGCGAAATCTGCCTTTGTTTCTTCAATAGAACCATTAAATTTAAAATAATCTTTGAAAAATTTTTTATCATTAATGTTGTCTATATTATCTGATGTTGCTCTAACATCAAATTTAACCAAGCGCTCTCGTTTTGGATTGTGTGGGGCATTAATAACGACAGTTACAGATATGACACTTCTATAATAATTATAACCAGAATGATGACGAGTGGATTTTACTAACAGAAAGCTAAACGAACAAAATCATTTTGATAAATGTAGAAAACATTAAATTTACTTCAGGTAAAATTTTTACTTACCCTTTAGTTATCTGTTTATTTAGTGCTCCTACAATGAATTCTTCTTTAAAGCTTTCTGAATAACCATTACTTAGATTTTTCAACACACGTGACACTTTTACTTCATAGATGCGCTTATCCTTGTCATCAAGTGCTAGAAGACTTTCAATCGATGTCATTCTTAAGAGTTTAAATTATATAATGCAGGTATTTTAAATAGAATACGATGCGAAACCTTTGGTCTGTGCAAGTACAACCTGAGAAATGAGGTTGGAACCAGGGGGCCGTCACAAAATAAACCTTACAAATTTGGATGTTTTGGAACTTTTTGAAAAAGAAAAAGTACGTTAAATTCTCACTGCAGTGACAATCCAACAATATGTAGGTACTTATAAGGGATTTTCTACATTTATAATTAACATTTATGGAGGCATCGAAAGAATACTGAAAAGGATAAAAAATAAAACATTGAACAAGTAGAGTCTGCTTTAGCACATTATCTACAATAATTTTGTTAATATTTGTTTAATTTGAATCACATTTAGGTATATATCTACCTAATTAAGTTAGGTATTTTAAATTATTTTATCATTCATGCTTATTTCAGAGTTTTCAAATAGTTTTTATTCTTTCAAAATCTCGTTCATGGTGTTGCTTATCTGCAGCAAATTTGATTAATGATCCCGAAGTCATGTTTTTAAAAGCTTCGAAAGTAAACATGAGATCATCGTAATCATTCAAAACGTCTTTCTCGCAATCAGGTTCACAAAAATTGAGTTTACTTCGCAAATCGACGAGCTTCTCTGCCTTTCTTGATAACTTGAAAACCTGCGGAAAATCATTTTCGATATTTTCGAATACTTTTGACTTTATTATCAAATCAACAATTTTATGAATTTCATCTTTTAAGCTCGGGAAGTGTGAAAGGATGTCAGCTATTGCCTCTTGCTGTCTGGTAGATTGATTCGCAACTTCATCAATATTTGAGAAAGAAAACACGATTGTAATGAATGACGGTAAAATAAATAGGAAAATCTTCATTGTCGTTGAAACACTGAAATTTAACTGATAAACAATCAACAGAACCTTCTTTTATATATTTTTTAAATGCTTAAAAAATTTATTTTCTACTATTTGTGATTTATTTAATTTACCGATAAATTTTCTTGATTTTATGTGACATCACCTTTGAGTTGTCTTTCAAAGTCTGTTAAGCATGAAAGCATGTACGTGTGTCCTTGCTGCTCAGAATATTTTATGAGAATTTTCAAGCTTTTCATAGCAATTTCATCAGGAATTTGAAATAATTGTTGTTTACGTATTTCTGGCTTTAAATCATTCAAATCTTTTCGTGTTGAAGTTTCAAATAATTCAACGGGAATTTCTCTTTGGATTTCATGATCTTCTTGATTATCTTCGAGTTCATCAAGCTGCTCGTAAATATATTCTTCCTCTCCAATGTCTTCCTCTTGAAAATCAGCATGCATTTCATGTTCAACATCTTCAAATGAATCTAAGTGATGTTCGTCTTCAATTTCTTCCTTTAAAAAATAATCTTCATTTGCATTCTCTTCAATTTCACTGATTTTATATTCTGATTCTGAATCATCTTCATCAATGACGATTCCTTGCTTTTTATGTAACTNAAAATAAATATAAAAAATTCAGGATTATCTATTTGAATTCTCTCACCTCTTCAAAACTTTGAAAGATTTTTGTTTGAGTTCAATACTGCAACGATAACGATGAGACAGTTGGAAGACGTTATACGCATTTGTATCATCAATATTATTCATCATATGAAATTCACAATTTTTTTGTAATTTTGTAAGCTGATATCGATGTGCAATTGCAAGAAGTTCATCGACGTAATCTAAATTTTGAATTTTACAAGTATAAAGGAAACGAAGCATTTCACCAAAAGCTTCAACGCTGACATCGGAAACTTTTTGAGATTGTGATGATTTTTCTAAAAAGCTTCCAGTAAACATTTTTTTAAAAACGGAGCTGCGACTCGAAAGAATGGCTTTATGGACTGGAAACGTTGCATCTCCCACTATAAATGTGAAGTCTGAAGTTTCTTGATCTAAGTAAAGCTCCTCCAGGGCTGACAAAGCTCGAGCTTTATTTTCAGAAATGAGATCTTCAAATTCATTACAGTCTATTTTCGCAGGCCGTCTATTTTCAATTACTGTGACCTGTTGATATATAAAAATTTAGACAAGCTGTACCATTCACTTTGACATTAAGCTACCGTGGCAGTTATGATCATTTGAGACGTGTTAGGCATATCAGTGAAATGTGTCATTGTTTCTTTAACAGCACGTTTAAATATAAAATAATCTTTGAAAAATATTACATTACGAATGTTGTGAATACTATTTGATGTTGCTCCAACATCAAATTTAACCAAGTGTTCTCTTTCTGGATTATGAGGAGCATCAAGAGCGACAGTTAAAGCTATGCAGCTTACATATATATTACCTACTTTACGAGGATTTGATTCTGCTAACAGAAAGCTAAACGAACAAAATCATTTTGATAAATGTAGAAAACATTAAATTTACTTTAAGTAAAATTTTTACTTACCCTTTAGTTTTCGGTTTATTTAGTGCTCCTACAATGAATTCTTCTTGAAAGTATTGTGGATATCTGTCACCTATTTTTTCCACTACAAGTGACACTTTTACTTCATATATGTGCTTATCCTTGTCATCAAGCGCTAGAAGACTTTCAATTGATGTCATTCTCAAGAGTTTAAATTATATAATGCAGGTATTTTAATTAGAATGCAATGCGAAACGTGTGTTCTGTGCAAGTACAACCTGAGAATGAGGTTCCAGAACCTAAGAGGCCTTCAAAAAATAAACCTTACAAATTTGGATGTTTTGGAGCTTTTTGAAAAAGAAAAAGTACGTTAAATATTCACTGCAGTGACATTCAACAGCAATCCAGCAACCTATTAAGGGATTTTGTACATTTATAATTAACATTTATGGAGGCATAGAAAGAATACTGAAAGGATAAAAAATAAAACATTGAACAAGTAGAGTCTGCTTTACCACATTGTCTACAATAATTTTGTTAATTTTTATTTAATTTGGATCACATTTATATGATCAACTTATTTTAAATGATAGTATCATTCATGTCTGTTTCAGAGTTTTCAGATATTTCTTTTTCTTTCAAAATCTCGTTCAACAGCAAATTCGATGAATGATCCGAAAGTCATGTTTTTAAAAGCTTCGAAAGTAAGCATGAGGTCTTTCTCGCAATCAGGTTCACAAAAATTGAGTTTACTTCGCAAATCGACGAGCTTCTCTGCCTTTCTTGATAACTTGAAAACCTGCGGAAAATCATTTTCGATATTTTCGAATACTTTTGACTTTATTATCAAATCAATGATTTTATGAATTTCATCTTATAAGCTCGGGAAGTGTGAAAGGATGTCAGCTATTGCCTCTTGCTGTCTGGTAGATTGATTCGCAACTTCATCAATATTTGAGAAAGAAAATGCGATTGTNTTAATTTACCGATAAATTTTCTTGATTTTATGTGACATCACCTTTGAGTTGTCTTTCAAAGTCTGTTAAGCATGAAAGCATGTACGTGTGTCCTTGCTGCTCAGAATATTTTATGAGAATTTTCAAACTTTTCATAGCAATTTCATCAGGAATTTGAAATAATTGTTGTTTACGTACTTCTGGCTTTAAATCATTTAAATCTTTTCGTGGTGAAGTTTCAAATAATTCAACGGGAATTTCTCTTTGGACTTCATGATCTTCATGATTATCTTCGAGTTCATCAAGTTGCTCGTAAATATATTCTTCTTCTCCAATGTCTTCCTCTTGAAAATCAGCATGCATTTCATGTTCAACATCTTCAAATGAATCTAAGTGATGTTCGTCTTCAATTTCTTCCTTTAAAAAATAATCTTCATTTGCATTCTCTTCAATTTCACTGATTTTATATTCCGATTCCGAATCATCTTCATCAATGACGATTCCTTGCTTTTTATGTAACTCGGGATGTCTTAAAACAAACTTTTTGGCCCATGTTGATGAAGGTTTGAAATTCCCAGAGAGTTCTAAAGTATCAAAGAGACAGAGAGCTTTATCAGCAATCAAAACATTACTTAATGGATATGAGTTTTGCTGAAGACACCAGTCGAGAAGCTCTTGTTCTAATTTTGGATATTTCGGTAATTTTACAATCTTTTGTTGAGCATTTGACTTTGTTAGTTTTCTCTCTCGCAATTCAACACGTCGTTTGAAGATATCATAGATTGTTGTTCTAGATACACCAAACTCTTCTGCTATGTTTGGGACAGGCTTGCCAGAATCGATCTGATTCAATACTTCGAGTTTTTCGGAAGATGTTAAGAATTTATTTCCTTTTGATTTTTGATTATCAATCTGTGATGATTCATCTTCTTCCTTTATCTCTGATTTTTGTAAATTTTCCTTCACATTCTCTTCACTATGAATTTCAAGTTCTAATGGATCAATTGGTTCTCCTGATGCTGACAGAAGTTTCCATTTATATTGAGGATGTCGGCAAAAGAATCGTTTGGCCCATGACCAACTTCCACAGAATCCACTAGGGCTTAAAGTGTTACCTTTGGCTCGAGCATTATCAAACTCCAATTTAGCTTGATCGTAGAATGATTGCTTTGTAAAGCTTTCTTGATTCTCACACCATTTTAACATCATCTCCTCAACTTCGGGATATTTTGATTTTTTGAAAGTTCGTCTATGACTGTCATTAGACTTTTCAAGATATTCGATAATTTGTTGCTTTCTCTTAATAATATCGTAGACAGTCGTTCTTCCAATATTGTAAATTTCGCAGACTTTTGATATTAACGTGCCAGCTTCCACTTGCTGAATGACTTCCAGCTTCTCGCGAATTGTTAGTGTTGTAATCTTTTTCTTGGCATCTAATTTTTCGTTACAAAATTCCTTGGATTTATCTTTTGGTTTTTCGAAGATTGTTGCATTAAAACTAGGAAGTGCCGGATCATACACAACTTCATAGTCCTGATATGGAAATTCTTCCATAGAAATTACCTCTTCTTCTTCTTCTTCTTCTTTGAATTTGCCTTCTATTGTTTCCTTCATATTTTCATGGAGAAAGGCGTTAAATTTAGGAGCAACCCTTCGTCGTTTACTGATATCAGGTGAATCGTTCATTGCTGCAAACATTCGAATTTTATCTTTTGTTTTGTAAATATCATGAACGGTACTCTTTCCAATACCAAACTTTGTTGCTATTTTTTGACGTGAGAGTTTTCCTTCTTCAGCAAGATTAATGATCTCAAGTTTTTCTTCTATAGTTAATGTTACATGCTTTCGTTTGTTTCTTGATGGTTTGCCAACGAAGCCTTTAACGAATTCCTCCTGAAACAGTTGAAAGAGAAAAATAATTACCTATTAAAGTTACATTTTTGTTTAACACAATTGATCAAAATTTACATCACTCATTTTAGTTGATATAGCTTAATCGTTATTAATCTATTTTAATCAATTCTGCGAGTTTTATTTTCAAAAAATCAAAACATATTCCAAAAATTTGTTTGTTTACAATTAGGAATCGTTAACTTTGTTTGTAACATTAATTTCATTAAAAATTGTGACCCAATTTATAAAGTACCCAATTCGTGCGTTAGTATCAAGAGAAACTTTACATTTTTATTTACATTTTATTTAGCTACTTGGAAATTCCACAAATTTCCGGTTTAGTGTTTTCTATGAATTTGTGCAATGTATCATTTGATAACAGGACTTTACAAACAAATTACAAAAAAAGACGAATACAATGTGCTAATCTTAGGCTTGGATA